CCCGACACAGCCGATTAGTAAGGTTTGTCACGTAAACAGAACGTGGCCAATTCGTTACCAGTGTAACGTAGCTCTCAGAGACGCCGTCTTGTCTTCCGTATATTTATTAAGAATAAAGTCCAGTGACAACTCAACACGTAACCGCGAGTGACCCCGTACACTTGGGTATTAACACAACTCTATTCTGAGACAGCACAGCTCCCAGTCTCAAGACAACTTGCAGGGGCCGCTCGCGCTGTTCCTCATCCTCGCCTGGGTCCGGCCACGCGCTTCTTCCCGAACTTGACCGTCCTAGGACGGAAGCTGTAAAATTTACGAAAAAATTGAGCGGAGTAATAATTGTATCTTGGGTACATTTAATGGCAGTGAATCTTGCACGAAACGAATGTCATCAAACACTGCACTGCATTTCACCGTAGCACTGTATTAATGGCATTGATGCACAAACTATGTCATAAAACACCTAACTTATGTCACTGTAGCAGTGTATTTAATTGACCTTCAATGAGCCTTTTGCCCGTCCTAGGACGGAAGATGTAACATTAAAGGTGTACATTTACGTTTTATTGTGATTTTAATTTTTTTTAGGAATTGTTGCACGTCAATACATTTTCTTAACTTATTTTTTGCTGCCTGTAATCCCAGCACTGCTGCCTGTAATCCCAGCACTGCTGCCTGTAATCATTGTAATCCCAGCACTGCTGCCTGTAATCCCAGCAATGCTGCCTGTAATCCCAGCACTGCTGCCTGTAATCACTGTAATCCCAGCACTGCTGCCTGTAATCCCAGCACTGCTGCCTGTAATCACTGTAATCCCTGCACTGCTGCCTGTAATCCCAGCAATGCTGCCTGTAATTCCAGCACTGCTGCCTGTAATCCCAGCAATGCTGCCTGTAATCCCAGCACTGCTGCCTGTAATCACTGTAATCCCAGCAGTGCTGTCTGTAATCCCAGCAATGCTGCCTGTAATTCCAGCACTGCTGCCTGTAATCCCAGCAATGCTGCCTGTAATCCAGCACTGCTGCCTGTAATCACTGTAATCCCAGCACTTCTGCCTGTAATCCCAGCACTGCTGCCTGTAATCCCAGCAAAGCTGTCTGTAATCCCAGCACTGCTGCCTGTAATCCCAGCACTGCTGCCTGTAATCCCAGCACTGCTGTCTGTAATCCCAGCACTGCTGCCTGTAATCCCAGCACTGCTGCCTGTAATCCCAGCACTGCGGAGGCAGCAGCAAGGGTTGGTGGATCACATACAGATTTTGTGAAACTCTCTTCCTGTGCGCGTCTAGGTTCCACATGCCCTGGGCTGGCCAGGAGAAGGCAGGACAGCAAGTGTGGGCTAATCGCCATCTGTTTCCATCTGTACGGGGATAGAGCGTTGCTCCCCTCTCTCGCACATGCGTGGGGGTTTTCTCCGGGTGCTCCAGGGTTTCCTCCTGCGTGTATTGGAATAAACGCGACTTGTCATCGCTTGGCTGACAACTTCTTCAAATAAAACCCCCCAATGTAGCAGCAGGAGGACCCTCTTGAAAAAGAGTCCCGTGGCTCAAGTGTGGCTCTCCCGCATACATAAGTACATTGTTAATATTCTTTGTTACTTTCGGTAAAGTCACGTAGATGGATAATAAAAAATAAAAATAATAATTAAAAAACAAAAATCAAAGCAAAAAAAACCCACGACGATTCGATCGCAACACAAGCGCTTGTGTAGCGAACGGAACGTCGTGGATTTTTTTAGCTTTTATTTTTAATTTTATTTTTATTATCTATCTACGTAACTTTACTGAAAGAGCCAAAGAATATGAATTCCTGCAGTCACAAAAGTTTTAAGTAAAAAATGACATTATTCATAATAAATAGGCATGCCATGAACTCACATTCAACTCAAATGCGAATACTTCATCTTGGAATAATTGCACAAAAGTTGGATTATTATGAATAATTACTATTCAATTACTGTGCTTCTTGCTTTACCGGTGAGATAAAATAATAGCAACGCGTGCATCAAACGCGTGTACTGTGCATCTGTGACAATTGCATTTGTTTGTCGATGTCGGGTGGTGGAAAGGATCTGAACGCGACGATATTTTGCCAAACACTCCACGTGGTCGAAATCAACAACAAAAAAGTAAACTACACATCAAACAGGCATTGCTCAAGATCAATCTGAGAAGGTGGCCGATGCATTTATACCAGTATAATTAGTATCATTCGGTGCATCTTTAAACACAGAATTGCTGCTACATAGCCCGGTGATTGAAGTGTCGTCATTGTCAGCTGCTGCATTTCGCACGATCAAAGCGCCGCCCTTCTCAAACTAAGTGGCATGGCTCTCACCTCCCCCACGCTCAGCGCCGCACCACTGGTGGAAATTCCACGGGCCCATGCCAGAAATGAGTGGAATCGGTCCATCAATAGCATGCTCAGCTGTTCCGCGCGAGATTGCGTTTTTAAAACGGTACCATACAATTTGCTTCAACGCTCTGAAAACGTGTTTCGCAAAAAGTTGTCGCTACCACGCACGTCTGTGGTGCACCGTCCCAGTATTTGCAGGGACCGAATGAATAGAAGAACTGTCCTGCAACGGAGCAGCAATGCCAACAAGAACATTTTCGAAAGTGAACAAAGAGTCAAAAAAGGTCGTACTTGGCAAATGGAGGTCACACTATCTCAGGTAACATCATGCTCGCCAACTAGACTCAAGCCATGCTTCTAACCCTAACCACACTACCCAACCAATCTCTATCCCTGTTCCTAACCATAACCACACGAGCCAACCAATCTCTAGCCCTGCACCTAACCATAACCACACTAGCTAATCAATATCTAGTCCTGCTCCTAACCATAACCACACGAGCCAACCAATCTCTAGCCCTGCTCCTAACCATAACCACACTAGCCAACCAATCTCTAGCCCTGCACCTAACCATAACCACACACGCCAACCAATCTCTAGCCTTGCTCCTAACTATAACCTTGGCCGACTGTTTTTGCATCACATAAATTTTTCTTAGGTTTGTTGAATTCCCGTCTCTCATCTTCTTGTTGTATTTACCTCCGTACAGTTTACGCTTTCTACGTGTTGCGTTGATGTCACCCTATATGCTCCCTCGCTCTTTGTTTTTACACCTGATGAAGATCGCTTGTGTTGCGGTCGAAACGTCGTGTTTGATTTGTTTTATTGTGATTTTATGGTATTTCTACATACGTGACTTTACCGAAAAAAACCAATGGGTAATTTATGCAGTCACGAAAGCTTTAATTCTTTATTATAACCATACTACCCCACCACTCTCTATCCCTGCACCTAACCATAACCACACTAGCTAATCAATCTCTAGCCCTGCACCTAACCATAACCACACTAGCTAATCAATCTCTAGCCTTGCATCTAACCATAACCACACTAGCTAATCAATCTCTAGCCTTGCACCTAACCATAACCACACTAGCTAATCAATCTCTAGCCCTGCACCTAACCATAACCACACTAGCTAATCCATCTCTAGCCCTGCACCTAACCATAACCACACTAGCTAATCCATCTCTAGCCCTGCACCTAACCATAACCACACTAGCTGATCAATCTCTAGCCCTGCACCTAACCATAACCACACTAGCTAATCAATCTCTTGCCCTGCACCTAACCATAACCACACTAGCTAATCAATCTCTTGCCCTGCACCTAACCATAACCACACTAGCTAATCAATCTCTAGCCCTGCACCTAACCATAACCACACGAGCCCACCAATCTCTGTCCTTGCTCCTAACCATAAAATCGACATGGATCTGGGGCCAGGCAGTTAGAGGAAGACAGTGCTTAAATATTGGCAGCAGGTGTCGTCAGATCGTCGCACGGATTCATCGATATGAATCGATATAAATCGATTCTTGCGCTCACGTATTGGGACGTAATGAATCGTAGCACGTCACAACACACGTGTTCTCGTAATTCAATGCACGGCAACGCGGCTCACTGCTATACATTGCATTCTACGCCCATCACAATGGGGCAAATGGTAGCAACCTTGACTCGAGACTGTGACAATCGAATCAAGTTAAAATCAGAATATGTAGCTATACAGGAGGAATCTAATGAGCTATGAAGCTCTTTTTTACCGGACATCTGTGGAAGAAAATACCTTTATGGCTCATCGGCTTTCTCCCCCAGTATAAATAAATATGTTGATTCAATCTTGATTTGAAGCTGTCGTGACTGCAGGAATCCATACTCTTTGGTTATTTCGGTAAAGTCACGTAGGTATAAAATAAAATAAATCACGACGTTTCGATTGCAACGCAAGCAATCATCATCAGGTGGGAAAGCCACAGCAAAAAAAATTATTGCTGCAAAAAAATGTTCTTGCTGTGGTTTTCCCACCTGATGATGATTGCTTGCGTTGCAATCGAAACGTCGTGATTTGTTTTATTTTATACCTACGTGACTTTACCGAAAGAACCAAAGAGTATGTTGATTCAGATCACGTGGTGGCGTGAATTTTCTTGTCTCCGTGTCCTCCGGTTTTCCCCCTCCACATTAGAAACATGCATTACGATGTCTTATTATTATTACTTCGGCGCTATAAATGCCCCAATGATGGACCAATTGGTTGATCTATCATTTGTGGCCAGGTCGCTTCTGAAAAATAAGTTAACACCTGAGTGGGTTTTGCCTGGTGGGATGGGTATGGTTTTATTTTTTTATCTACGTGACTTTACCGAATAGGACCAAATAGTATGGATCCTTGCAGTCACGAAAGCTTTAAATCTAGAATTTGGCTGATTTGTTTACCTAGCTTGGACTTTGCACTACTATCGTATTTTTTGTACTGTTTGTCGTTGTAACGTCCTTACCCACCCCTTACTGGGCATCTGTGGGAAAAGAAAGAGCTTAACAGCTCTTCTCGATCTCAACAACTCTGAAGTCTCATTTAGATGGCAATGCAAATAAGTGTGGGCGTGTCTCGATCCCTCCACGCCCCCATCGGAAGTGGGCGGGTCCCGCAGTGGCGGAAGTGGGCGTGTCGCGCTCGGCCCGCCATGACGGCGCCAGTGACAGCTGTGAGCCGCGTCCCTCCGCTCTCCAGCCGCGTCATGTAACGTGCTTCTAGGGCGGCCTCCCCCCCCCTGCTAGCTTCTACCGCTCCCTCGCTCACTCGCTCGCACGCCCAGGGCTGGAGCAAGCCGACGGGCGGACACTCGCGCGGTGACAGACGGACGGGCGAGAGGAGGAGGAGGTGGCGGTGGCGGCGGCGGCGGTGGTGGTGGTGGTGGTGGCGCCGCCGCCATGTTTTCCAAGAAGCCTCACGCGGGCGATGTGAAGAAGTCGATGCAGAAGATTCTGGACCCCAAGAAGGATGTCCTGACTCGCCTCAAGCACCTGAGGACCGTCATAGGTGGGTGCATGCCGACAGTCGCCCGTGGCATTCGACGCACCGCCGCTATCGCCAGCGTCAACCGGCACTACCACCACCACCATCATCAACAGCAGTGATATCAGCGCCCAACATTCACCACCAATCGTCAACCTCATGAGCAACAGCAGCATCGTTATCACCGCCACGAGCATCATCAACAGGATCAGCACCAGCATCATAATCACTCATTAGCAGCAACAGCAGCATCATTACCACCACGAGTACCGTCATCAACAACACCCAAGATCAACACCACCAGCATGCATGTTCATTCATTTGCAATAGCACCATCACGAGCAATACCATCACCATCATGAGCACTTATCATCAACAACGCCAGGATCAGTAGCATCATCAGCACTCATTACCAACAGCAGCATCATCAGCATCATCAATACCAACATCACTAGCATAGACATCAACAACATCAGAATCAATACCAGCAGCAGCACCGGCATCACGCATCAGCAACAGTACCGGCAGTACCATCATCACTCATGTTGCGGTGGTGGTAGTGCAGATTTGTTGTTGTTGTTGACACAGTTGGTGCCATCTGCTGGGAATTGGGCGGTGAGGAGTTAGTGGTGGCGTGTGTTGTGGGGCGCGGTGGCGCAGTGGTTAGCGCGCTGCGCTACGAACCCGGTTACCCGAATTCAATTTCCGCTCACGGGCCACACCGGTGACGATTATCCGAACCGATCCCGGGCCTCCCCTAGGTCGACTCGGCCTCAAATGAGTACCTGGTTCATGTGTTAAACATTGCCACTCGGGAGACAAAGGCGGCCGGGCGTGGTTCTGACAATCCATCCCCCCTCGTGTACCGTACCGGCCTCGCGAACAGCACTTGCCCCAAAAGTCCGTCAAGGCTATACGGGGGATCTTTGTCTTTGTGGTGGTGCAGGAATGCTCTGCCACACGTGACGTGCCAGTTAGATAGCATTGCTATTTGAGATGTGTAATCGGCGCAATGGACGGACCTTCTCACTTGCTTGGCAAAGAGGTAAATTGATCTGATTGAGAGCTCGCCTGTGAAAGAGGTAATGAATCTGAATGGGTATTCACCTGGTTGAAGAGGTAATGTGCCAGAACAGACTCTTACCTAGCGAAAGAGATCATGAATCTCAATGGGCACTTACCTGAAGAGTCGATGCAGCTCGGTGATACATTACCTGTTTAAAGAGTTATTGGATCTAATAATAGGGTTTTCCCCTTTTTTCTGGCAACAAAACTGAAACCTTTTTACAAGGATTCATGTCTGCATTAACCACAATACCTGCAGTCAAAATGCAAACAAAAAACATACTATGATAATATATGCATTTTCCTTGAAGCTGATTGGTCAACACCAAGGGACGGCTTTCTTTTCAAGGACAATGCATATATTATCATAGTATGTTTTTTGTTTGCATTTTGACTGCAGGTATTGTGGTTAATGCAGTAACATGAATCCTTGTAAAAAGGTTTCAGTTTTCTTTCCAAAAAAAGGGGGAAAAACCCTATTATTATATTTTGGTACTGGCAAAGGAGGCCTAATGAAGTTATTGGATCTGTAAAAGAAGACCTAGATATCACGACCTGATTGGTGAATTAGATCGTGGTGACACAACTGAAAGAGGTAATGGATCGTCAATTGCACCTGGTAAAAAAAAGAGTGTAAATTAACACTTTGCTTCTAAGTGATTGTTCACCTGCTGAAAGAGGTGACATTACAATGAGCGTGTAACTAAAGAGGCTTGCGCGTCATCGGGGCACTCACCTGGTGATAAAAGTACTGACTGTCAATAAGCTGAGAGAGAGGTAATATACATCTCGGTAGACCCGCTGAGAACAAAAGTAATGCATGACATGGAACACCTGGTTAAAGTAGTGAATCTCATAGTGCACACCTTCTGGAAGATATCATGAATCTCAATATATCCTAACCTGTCAAAAGATACGCGAGTCACAATATACTCTTTGGTTCTTTCGGTAAAGTCACGTAGGTAAAAAAAAAATAATAATAAAAAAAATTAAACAACTAACTTAAATCACGACGTTTCGGGCGCAACACAAGCGTCCGTCATCAGGTGGGGACAACCACAGCGAAAAAGCAATCGCTGAAGTATGCCTCAATCTCTATACCTGCCTAAAGATATCATGAATGTCAATATACCCTCACCTGTCTAAAAATGTTGTGAATCTCAATGATCAGTTGACCTGTTGAGAGAGTTCCTGAATGTCAGTCAGTGCTAATCTGGATAAAGATGTCATGAATCTCAAGAGACTCACCTTGTGAAAGGTTATGGACATCATTCAATCCTTGGTGAAAGAGATGATGAACCTGAATCTGCACGCATCTCTCTTATAGAGAACATGGATCCCAGAATCTCAGTGAGATCTTACCTGGGTTGAGGTGATGAATATCGCCGATCAAAAAATCTCGAATGAGCTTCGTGACCATTAACCTGGTTAAAAAAAATCATGTTTAAGCTCGACCAATAATTTATAACTAATGTTCAGATCCCGTAACTCTGCCCAGTTGTGAAAATGAGGCTCACAGTGGCTGCCATGTGTACATTTTATGATGTGTGGACATTGGTTAAGTTTGTCAAGCCTACGAAGAATGGATAATCGTGAATTGGGGTTCAGGCTCACCTAGTTGCAATGTAGAGAGGTAATGCATCTCATTAAGCTCACTCCTGGTTAATGTGTCGTGGCTTTTAACCAAACATTCTAAAAATGATTGCATGCAATAGCTGCGTCATTACCTGTGCCAGGACCTTGGGATCACGACAAAGTCAAATGGTAGGTCGATATTGATTTTTAAGGGTGTTGCAGATACTTAAATATTAAATGCCCAATGCAAATGCTTTTGGTGCGTTTTAGAATTACGTAATAGGTATCACTTAGGGGAAGGTTAGTCACATAAGACAGTAACGGGACCATTTTTGACACTTGGATGGCAACTGTTGGCATGAATACGCTGATAAGAAAAGAGTTATAATATTTTCAACCTGTAATGCACACATAATAAAGGTTTTTGGGTTAGATCGCGTTATTTATAAATGTGTCGTAACCCTCCACCACCCAACGCGGCCAATCAGCAAAAAAGTGTCGCGTTGACAAAAGACAATTAGTTCACTACTTTAGCCCACCGGTGTGTTGAAGAGTGAATCCACAACATTTACAGTTTGAATACGACGTTTCGCTGGTAATTACATCCAGTATCATCGGGCAATTTGCCAGAATGGCGGTGGGCTAAGGTAGTGAACTAATTGTCTTTTGTCAACGTGACACTTTTATGCTGATTGGCTGTGTCGGGTGGTGGAGGGTTACGACACATTTATAAATAACGCGATCTAACCCAAAAACCTTTATTATGAATAATATTGGTCGCGAAAGCCTACGTGTTAAACTGTAATGCACACAGTATTCACTCTCTCGCTTAGAACGACTCGGAGGCGCGAGAAACTGCAGAAAAGCAGGAAGGCAGCCACTTGATGAGCCGGAGCCAACATTTTCCCAAGCTCTGCGGTTCTCTATGTATTAAGGTGTTATTGGACAATTAATTAGTGTTTTATAGCTATATATTGACTTACGAGTCTGCTTGTTGGAGGAACAGCAGATGTATGTTGATCTTCTTTCGCACCGTACGTAGCCAACCGTGCTAATCGGAGGTGCTGGGGAAGGACAATAAACTGAACACAAAAAGCTACTCTCAAAAAATGAGTTCTCAATATAGATTTAAAACCGAATAGCTCATCTGGAAGCACGCGGCTAGCCAAAAGACGCTTCGAGGATACCCGGAGTTTACCTGATGGTTTATGCTCCTTTACGAAATTAGCATTTGTGGCAAGAAACTTTGTGTGTCACGAATTCGACCTTATAAAGTACGTCAGATGTTGCACACCACAGAATTGAGGATGGTGAGATGGATCTCAGGGATTGCATGACTGAATCGTGTTAGCGACGGAGACGAGGAAGACGGCAAAAGTGTGGCAGTGCCCGTCTCAGACAAGCCGGGAGAGCATTGACTCGGATCGTTAGGATGCGGCATGAGCGGATAGCAAAACCACATCGGAGGAAGGTTGATAAACTTCTAAGCAACAGGGTGGAGAATTGGCAAGAGGCGGCTGGGCGCGATGAACCACGATACTAATTAGTGTGTGGAGTGGACGTGGAGATGATGGCCAAGGATGGGAATGAGTGGAGAAGGAGGAGCAGAAGGCAGACCCCCACATAAGTGAGAATAATGCCAAAAAAAAGCTAGGTTGGTCAAAAGATGATGAAAGCTCTGGCTCTTTATTCGATGCTGATTATAGGATATGAGGCCTGAGTGGAGGTATTTATCAGTTTAAATCTCAAACATCTCCTTAAGCAGCAGGGAAATGGTGCAAGGGTTATTATAATTACATTATTAAATTTGTTTACCCAGGATAAAATGAAGCCTGTGATGCATTACCACGAAAAGCCGCTGTAGATTTGTACCATCCCGCACAGCTCTATCCATTGTTAATTCAGTGTTTTATGGCGAAAATAATAAGATGTGACGTCCATGTTCACTTGATTGAAGACGACAGGGCTTGACCATGTGTGACGGTCATAACGTCTTCCTTTTTTCAAAAGGTGCAAGCAAGCAAGCCCATAGCAGAGGAGAGTGGCGGAAGCAAAACCGTGTCTTTCCTGAACAGCTTTAGCAACACTCCAGGCCCTTTGGGCTATCAACACATGCCAGTCAGTTTTCTTCTTCTTTCGTATGGCTGATGGAAATGCAGAGCAACAACTACAATTGCACGTTCAAGGTGGTCAAGCCAGATAACCGCGTCAGGAGTAGCGGAGTGTCTCCTTCGTATTTGTGGGATCGGGCATTGCGTCATACGTTGTACGGTCTCTGTTCTGGATGACCACTGTCTCACACTGCTGGAGAGATTTTAATTTTCCATTTGTCCATCATCAGGTATCCTGCATCGACTACCATGGTTTGTGCAGTGGATGCGATTTAGATGTGGCCCAATCAATGATAATACAGCAGTGGATCGACCTGAAGTTTGGATCAGAATTTACTCCGCAAACAATTTATCGACATCTCACTCGCGAATAAAGGTTCCGATGTCCACAATGCACTGTGAACCAGGCCCGAGGGATTCCAACCACAATTGCGATCGTGTCGTTCATAATGAGCAGCGATTACAATGGAATTGTAATGTCGGCTAACAATGCCCACCGTAACTGTGATTATAATTAACCCCCGGGTATGTTGTGAACCAAAGAACCGTGTACGTGAGGGTGCTTGAATCACAAATTAACATTGGCTGGAAATAAAAGAGCAGACTGACCGTCCTGCATGAGAATGAGAAGTGTGCGTTCCGGGGTTGGCAAGCGGCAGCGGCTCTTCAGAGATACCAGCTTGACATCGACAGCAACAAATGGAGAAAGTGGTTGGTGGGACGGTGGAAAAAATCATCCCAGAGGGTGACTCAGGAGTAGCAGGGGTGAGCATTGGTCAGACCAGGGGTCGGCAAGCAAAGTAATAAGATAACAAAAAAATTCGAATTTGCTATTAAAAAAAAAGCTCTTTCAAGATCCGCAATGCAATGTGGTTAATGCTATTCTATTTAGGATTTTGTGCAGCACCCCTTTGACAAGGCGCTTTGAAATGCAAGCCGACAGCGGTCGGTAAGGGAGGGGATGGATTGGATGGAGGGGACATGGGCAGGGAATGGAGTTGATGTTGCTGGGGGTAGGTAAGGCAGAATAAGTTGGAGGGTTACGGTGAGAGAGGGACCTGTCTGATGGGTGCAACGTGGAGAGAGAGGCAGTGGGCTGTGGGGCACGTGCGTGAAGTGGTAAAATGGGCATGGATGAGGGTAGGTGAAGGGTGGTAGGGGTCCTTAGTAAATAACTGTCACGAAGCAGCAGTCCTGAAGGAGCTGCGCGCGGCTCCGGGGCCGCTCCTTGCCGACACCAGGGAGCGGCTCTGTGCAATGAAGGCGGAGGGGAGGAGGGAGGAGTGGACCGTTCTGGCCGTGTGTAGTTAAACATCATTACCACTGTCATGTTTGCTCAAAGTAGCACCCCCTGGCACAGGGCGGTCTATGTTAGCTTCCCCGTTCGATGGTTTCATAACATTGCAAACACTTTTCGGCCGAACATGCAAGCGTTTCCATGCGCTTTCGGTATTACTGAAAACATTTAATTACGGCTAATGTTAGTTTCGGCAGCTTAGTTAAACGGACTGCGCAACGTCTAGACAGCGCCCTCCCACTGTGTATTAACTTTATACTTTTTATATTTGATGTAATTAGAATTAGTTTACTCTTGTTACTTGTTAGAAGGCCTCCTTTACTTGCGGAATTAGCCATGGCTTGGATAAGCAATTAAAAAAGGAGTGCCTGCTTGTATATTTGTATGTACGTTTAACTTCTTTCTCACCTTACGTGAATCGGAGGTGCGGGTGGAGGGAACAAAGTAATAAAAAAGCAGTTCCTGTATTAGAATACTGCATGCGCTTGCTGCTTCTTTCGCAGTAACTTTGTGGAGCTCAGCTGAGAGCGGTCATTACAGGGCTGAATAGCGGGAGTTAATTTATTGTGCGTGGTTTTACACCCAACCAGTATTTCAGAGCCAATGGGGACTGCATTACTTCCAGTCGTTGAAAAGAATTGGAGCCTCTTGCTCCTTGATGGTGAGCCAGCAAGGAGGAGTGTGCACCATATGTCAAGGTTATGAAATGTAGGCATTGATTCATTTCATATTGCGGGAGGGGAGCGATTTTGGGCCACCGTTGACTTTGCGCAACATGGCCCTGCGTGAGTTATGGGACACTCTCGTTAAAATACAGAACAGCTTTAACAGCCCTTTTAGCTCGCTCACCTTTGAAAGAGCTTTTTAGCTCAATGGGCCTTACCCGAAATAAACCGATGGACTGAACCTACATAGACCGATGTCCCAGACATGCCAAAATGGGCCGCCAGCCTCGACTTATTGAAACCTTGAATTAAGAGACCTATGCGCAACATTGGCAACTGTTACAGCTAAGGAGCGCGACAGACGGACTACACGTACCACCCAGGCCTGCAGCGTAGTACCCTCAATACGGGACCACCCTTCATGCCCTCGCCAACCTAGAACCCCCCATCACGAGTAAACAGCTGTCGATATGTAACTTTGGCTGAGCAAGACGCACCTCCAGCCGGAGACCTTGACCCTTGGGGCATTGCGGTGGCAAGATGTTATCTCGTTTGCCTGGTACGCAGGAGGTTGTGGGTTTGGTCCTGACCCTGACACCTGTATATTTGAAGTTTGTATGTTCTCCCCGTGGTCATGTGGCTTTTTCCTCTGTCCCCCTATTTTTCCGTCCGCATTTAGAATCAATATAGATCATTTGGCTCCTATACCTTTCCACGTGATGATTCACCTCGTCGAGCTGTCATTTGTGGTCAGGTCGCTTCTGAAAAAAAGAGCTGTATTTGCTCAGTGGGCTTCACCCGGTAAAATAAAGCAGTTTTGTTTCTAGTTTGAACGAGGCGACCGCAGAAGGTGGTGGCACGAACGTGCCCCTGGCGGCTTTATCAGTTGCAACCTTGTTCGCAGGTAATATCTACCATCTGTGCGGCCCACTGCATCGCCTGGCATACAGAGGGGACCCTTTCAGCGATTCGTATTACCCCCCCCCCGGTTATTGCGGCTCGAAAACGCGCGAGTATATTAACGGGTGCCCCTTCCCATAATACGGTTTGCCTGCAAAGAAAATAATTTTGACGTAAAAAATAAAAAAACCGCTGATGGTTTCCAGATGGACGTTTTCAGCTTGCGGAGTAAAGGCCCGGCTCCGATAGGTTACGTGCGCCGGGGCTGACGGAACATCGACTTTTATCTTGTGCGGATACGCTGCACTGTTGAGCGCATGAGTATATTTTGAAGCAGTTATGTAATTTGTTGTCGTTAAAACTAGTTATGCTTCTTGCTCCTTAGTGGTGTTTACGATGCACTGTATATTCTTTACATCACATGATTTGATTAAATATTTTTTCACGATTTAAGTTCGAAACTGGAGCTCCTGCTACGACACGTTATATACTTTTCCACCTTGGGTTAAAACTATTTCTTTCCCACGTTTACAGCAGGTGCCTTTACTGCGCTACGGTTTTTAGCCATGGACAGTGTCAAAGTCTACGCGAATATGTTGAGCACGCTGCATGTGCCTGTGTAAAATTTTAAGTTGAACAAGTGAAAACAAATCCAAAATATTCCACAAAGCATTGCAGTGAGAATTTTATTTTATGATGTTTTATTTTTATTATTTTATTATTTCCTTCTACGTGACTTTACCGAAAGAACCAAGAACATTTCAGTATTGTAATTAAATAATCAATTCCACGAATAAAAGAGTGTGCCAGCCATGGTCTGATCTCCTGCCAATGTTATTAAAACGGAGATAACGTGTATCGCGTCCTGGATTGAAACGTGCAGCGTGAATAGTTCCATTATCCGCAAGCGACATTCTCGGTGTGTGCAGCGATTGCCGAAATGCTAACGTGGTAATTTCAGCATTACAGGTACGGAGGTCCGGTATGTTGTTTTTTTTACTTTGTAGTTTTTTTTAAAATGTGAGCCGTGTAAAACCACGCATCTGAATCTGATGCGAACACCAGCTTTGGCAAGAGTTTCCAGGAAGTTTAAATTGCAGCGCTTGCTTTTGTTTAAGGGCCTCGTAATCTCAACTGCACAGGAGTGGCCACGTTGGGAAATTATTTTGGAGGAACCTGTGACTGCTCTTGCCTGCTTTGTGTTTACGGGCTTTGACGTCGCCTGCTCCTTGCAGTGCCTCACGGTAATCGTCAAATGATTCCGGACCAAATATTCTACTTGTCGGTAGGTACCGCAAGAGGTGGCATAACTTTTAACGGTTCCAATGAATGGGTTATTGAATAATTCACTCTTTATATATATACAAAAGGGAAATTTGTGAATATGTGTGTCTGTTAGAAATGTTTAGCATACTTCCCGACATGCAACAAACTTTAAATTTGCCATGTGGCTAACTTACATACTGTACACAATGTTAAAAGTATAAAAATAGAATTTTGTTTTTTGGGGGGGGGGGGGGGAGGGCGCAATAATGGATATATTTTGCGTGCCAAGTGAGCGGTGACGTCACATCTGTTATGTCACCCCCATGCGGCAGCGTCACGCAGTGTGCCTGCTGACGTCACGCATCCTCCCCACCCTCCGCGTAGGCCGTGTATTAATCCAAGACAAGAATCCAAGTCCCAGGCGAAGCTGGGTTTGACTAAAGTTACACACGCATGGCGACAATCATCACCCCATACTGGCAGACCGCTGCTCTGGGTCACTTGCAACTCAAGGGTGCCACGGTGGCAAGATGTTAACTACCTCGCCTGGTATACAGGAGATCGTGCGTTCGATCCCAACTCTGACACCTGTTGGATATTTGTAGTTTGCATTTTCGCTCCCTGTGGTCGTGTGGGTTTTTCTCCGAGTGCTCCGGTTTTTCCCTCATTTAGAAAAATGCTATTAGAGTATTTAGCTGCTGTAAATGTGCACATTATAAGGCACTTGTTCGAGCGATCATTTGTGTCCAGGTCTCTTCTGCAAAAGCGCTACAGAGCTAATTGGTCCGTACCTGGTAAAATAAAAATGGTTTATAGTTTAACTGAGACTCGTCCCTGGTCTCTTGAGCGCTCTCACCTGGCTAGACAAAATACACTTGGACCTTGAGTTGTGCCGTTTTCCAATCCGTTGCCTTGCAGACACCGCGGACCAAGGTGAACTCAAGCAGTTCTTGGAGTTCAACTACTCGCACGTCTACTACGTGTTCTTTGAGAATTTCGTCAGCATTGAGGCCAGCCTCAAGCAGAAGGGTGAGTGCCAAAACCGCACACAACACGGGCCCGCCTTGTAACCTGGGGTGGGGTGGTGCCATTGCATGCGTTGCAAACTTAATCTCCCCAAGGGGAGATTGCTGTTTTGTTTTGTCATCCCCCCCCCATCCCCGTACCTCCGATTAGCGTGGTCGGCTATGTTCAAAAGGGGGGGAAAAAAACACCCATTTTTCACCTTCCGTGGATCTGGTTCCTCCCGGGGTACTAGTGCTGGGGTAAACCACAATAATCGGCCTAATCTTGCCGGATCTTTTAAATGCCGAGCGGGGTTAATCCTGGCTCTGCCGAGAATGTCCGAGATTGCCTGTAAAATAACAAGTGTTGCAGGCTTGGCCCGTGAGATAGCCGGGAAATGTCAGTACAGGAAGTGCTTAAGTGTGGAGCTTGTATGTTTCACTCCTCATGTGCGTAGGGGTTTCTCTGCGTGCTCCCATTCTTTCCTCCGACATGTCGCATGCCCATAAGTTGAACGAGCCAATTTATGCACGAGCGTTGAACTTCTTTCGCACCGTTACGTAAGCAACTGTGCTAATCGGAGGTGCCCCGGGAAGAACAACAAACTAAACAAAAACATCCTACTTAGCCAAACAGCGTACAAACATCATTTCACGGCATTTTTCATTGTGTTGAGGATTCACGCTGGTTTAAATTTCAGCTTCATCCTCCTTTATATATTTTCCCGCAGGGAACATTTGTCGTGTCGTCAGTGTATTATTATTATCTTGTTTGAGCATCAACTAAGCTCGGAACAACCAGACCCTTTGTACGTGAGACAAAATTTACTCGTAATTAGCAGGTGTCCCGCGTTGTGTGTTCACCTGATGGATTTCAGGACTGAATGTTCTAGCGGCAGCCTCTTGAGTGTATGTCTCTTTTGGGCAATGGTTGCAATGTGCGAAGAATGCCCCGTTCAGAATGTTGCAGGACTTTGTCGTGTGGCTTTTAAATGTGCGTACGTTTGCGATTGTTTTGACAGTTTTACCTTCTGTGGGCATGTACAGAGTGACTGTTTTCTCTTGGCTTACAACCATCACCTTAACCGCATTTATTGTTGAAGTTTTTCTTTCACATTTGATAATGGAGCACGGAACAGGTTATGCAATCCCATGTGTATGTGTGTGTATGGGGAACGGTGGTGCAGCGGTTAGCGCCCTGTGCTACAAACCCGGCAATCCGAGTTCGGTTCCCGCTTACGGCCAAGACCAGTGACGATTATCTGAGCCGGTCCTGGGCCTCCCCTAGGTCGATTGAGCATCAAATGAGTACCTGGTACGGTGTGCAAACAAAGGCGGTCGGGCGTGGTGCTGGCCACCCACCCCGTTAGTGCCGTACCGGCCTTCATAAGTGCTCGCTAACAGCACTTGCCCCAGCAGTCTGTTACAGGCTATATGGGGGATCTTTGTCTTTGTGTGTAACTATAAGGCAGCTAATGTTATTATTCTTGCAGGTCACAAGTCTCAGAGGGAAGAGTTGGAATCAATTCTCTTTATCTTCGAGGTGGGAGATATTTTTTTGCATTGTTATTGATTTTATGTTGGCGTGTTTGTCACGGACTCATTTTTTCACGATTCGAATGGTCTGCATTGCTCGTAATTTGGCAAACAAAGTGATTAACTTGACTACTGTGTTCATTTCTAAACTTGTAACTGCTTTTTTGATTCCACCGTTCTGTGCATGAATTGCATTTACTTCATGGGCCTATTACAACCTTAAGCGTTTGCCACGAAAAAATTGGAAGAAAAATTGATTAACCTGTTTTTTTTTTACCTTTTCCCCCTAATTCATAATATTCCGTGGCCGTTGATATTGCCCGGTATATACTGCCCTATAAATTACCTCCTAATTTATTAACACTTCGATTTTCACTGATGGTTACGCTATATTGAGATCGGCACGAATGTCGCTGCTCGCTGCGTACGCACTCGAAGCGTTGCAGAACACCTCCTTGTGGGCACAAAAGTGAGCGCGCAGTGTCTTTCGGCAAATTCCATATGCTTACGGTCGAAACGTGAACTCTTAGAGGAGGAAAGCGGCGAACGCAAGATGCAAGGTGCGCGCGGACTTAATGTTCATCAGATTGATGCACGCTGGTTAGTTTTTTGGCCGATGGAAATGAAGAGGCACACGAGGATGGGACGATAAACGCAGACGAGGGATGGTTTTTTTTTGGTGACTGCAAGTGGGGCTCAGGACAGGACACATCACGAGCGGGGTGCGCTGCCAGCTGCGGACGTTCGAAATGGAAGTCTCTTCGTCTCGTGGAATGACGCTGGAAATTGGAGTGTACGTTGTGAGACGGATCAGAGAGAGTGGTTTACCAAAAATGAATATAATTTCTCTCGAAAATGCTGGCTAAATCATTTTCTTAACACGTTGGTAGACGACTACCACCGATCAGGTTTGTTGTGAATGCGATGCATTGACTTTCTATTCCTTTGGTTAAGAGAAAAGGTGCCCACATGTGGTATAATACATTCATATGCTTTGGTTCGGCAGTTTTCATTTGTGCTGGAATCTACGGTGAAGATGTGAAAATGGCAAACGCTTTGTTACTTTTGGGTGAAAAGTGAGTCGTGTAAGCCATTAAAATCCATTGCCTGGTGTTGCGACACACTCAAGGTCACAGGCGGTTGGCTACGCGACGTGTGACTTTAATGTTTTTGCGTTACGCTCGCTTACCGTTGCGTTGTTTTGGCATCGTACGGTTAGCAAATGGTGCTGCGTGGCCCAGGTGTGGGAGCGGCGGGCAGGTACTGATTCACCTTGGTCCCCGGGATCGTCGCTTGCCATTGGTCGGGATGTTGAGTTACGGGGCGAGTATCGTTTTGTCCCGTGTACAACAACAACAACAACGACAATTTATCACAATCTTTATTTATCCTGGAGGAATCCGATGAGCTATGAAACTCTCTTTCACAGATGTCTGATAGGGGGACGGGTTGCCAAGTTACAGCAACAAGTCACTAACATTGACCTGTCAACACAAATCGATACACGGGTAATGCGCCCGTGACGTAACAAAACCGTCTGGGAGCGTGCAATTTATGCACAAAGAATGAGAGACGGAGAGACAGGAAGCGATTCGGTGGGGGGGGGGGGGGTCCGAAAGCACGGAGATATCTTTTTGTTTTTTAATGCTTTCATCTGTTTCAATAGCGTATCCCTCTGCTACATCCTGTCTGCATCCTTAAAACCTTAACCATACTCCCCCTTCCTAACCTCAAACCCTCGCTTTCCCTGTCATCACCCTTCCTTGCCGTCCCTTCCCCAACACTCAAAACCCCCGTTCCTTTTTCCCATCAGCCAATGCACAATTTATAATTCTTGTAAAGCGCTTTTTTTACAAAAGCGCCTTATAAAATCTTTTATAAAATCCGAGATAAGATGAGATCGCAGCTCGACGCGAGCTCGTCACGAAACGCCGATCGCAGAACGGCGGTGGGCGGGGGGGTAAACAAACTCCACGAACAGCCGCCCGATTTTGTCGCGACAGGGCCCAACGAAAGGAGAAAAATTGGGCTCACTGCCGCGTGCAGGTGGAGACCACGTGTGGGGACATGAAGAGGTTATAAGAGGAAGGCTAAGTGTGGAAGATAACAAACATACTGGGGGAAGGAAAGGTAACAGGGGGAGGGAGGGAGGAGGGGAAAGGAACCGTCGGGGGGAGGGGGGGGGTGGCACGGGGATGTTGAAGAAGATGTTGAAGAGGGAGCTGAGTTGGCTTCATCTTTCGTATGGCTGATGATGTAGACGCAGAGCAACAACTACAATGTCGCATTCAGGTGGTCAAGCCAGATAAGCATGTCAGGAGCAGCGGAGTAGTGTATCGCTGTGATGTCTCCTTCCTATTTGGGAGGGAAGGGGACCTGTCAGAGTTGCGTGGGGACTGAGTGCCAGAGGGTGGTGGGCCTAGCGGCTAAGAGAGCGGCATAAATCATACATCAGTTGTGGACATGCAGTTTTGGCGTCGCTACTACACAAAACGTGAGTGGTCTGACAGGTCCGAGGAGATGAAAAAAAAATTCCAAGTTCAACGAGGAAAGAATGTTGTTGGGTTGGCCAGGTTGGCTAAGATGCCAGAGCACCAAGACAGCGCCTGCTGAGATCCCTGGGTTCGAATCCATGCTTCAGTCACTCGCAAGTACTCCAGTGCAGTGAGGTGATGGCTACAGCTTGGTTACCAATGACTCCGTACAAAATAAACTATCCAGTTTGAATGCGGTTTTTATGACTCGCGCTTTGCCTTCTTCCAGCTCTGAGAATGAGCTAAACACTTGGTTCGATTGACGTGCGAGAAATTTTTCTCTGTGACCTTGGAAGGCGTTCCCCAAGTGTGTGGATAAAGACGTCTGTTGCAGTGACCTGTTGAAGTGGATGGCGATGTCATCTGTGAAGGCTGTACCCTGATGCAGGGCGGTAACACTGCTGTGCCGTACGAGTTTAGAATTCGAATGTCTTCGTCACGTGTCATTGATGACGAAAGCACGATTCCGTGAAGCAGCCTTCGTTTGTAAAGTGGGCTTTACGCCCAACAAACACTTCTCAAACTTCCTCACGTTAAATAGAGTACCATGTACACAAATGCACCGACACTTTCAAATATAACATGGGACCTTTTTTGCCAGTATCATAAAGTATGAAAACAAGAATAGGTTTTACCTTTTCTGGCAATGAAACAGGAGGTGTTAAGATGTTCAAACACCAAACAGAAACCGTTTGCAAGGAATCAAGTCTGCATTAACCACACACAGTACTTGTGGTGAACATGCAAACAAAACATGCTCTGATAATTAACATATGCATTGTCTTTGGAACTGATTGGCCTACACCAGAGACAGCCTTCTTCATGGCCTAGTCTCTTTATTGCCTAGTCTCACCTGTGTCAGACAAGAGAACACCAAAAAGAATTGGCTTTGTCCTGTTCACCTTTTGGCGTTCTCTGGTCTGACACTCCAGCAAGTCTAAACCTGGTCTCCGTTGTCAATAAAGTTATACAAATCTGGTCACACATGCATGACGCACCCCCGACATTTGCTTTGCCATACAGCAGGTGGACGGGGGAGGGGGGGGGCGGTTTGCGTGGAGGAAAATTGTGGGTCTTATAATTCAGAGAACACGGGAGATGTTAGACACCAGGCAGTACCGTAGTTCTGGAGAAGGTCGTGGAGGTGAGCACAGGGGCATGATTGCCGGTTAAAGCCCTCGATGCCTCACGACATTTTAAATGTAACCCCTAAGTGGGACCGTGCGATTGAGATGTAAGCGAAAAGTAATAGGAAACGGCTGTCTCGAGTTTTTGGTTTCCTGCGAATGTGTGAGCCCTGTTTACCGCTCTTTTAAAGTAAACTGTGCCGTTTCGTTTTGTTTGACAGAAAATTCTCCAGCAGCTGCCCGAGAGGATCCACAACAGATGGCAGTTCCACAGTATAGGTACGAAAAACAACAACGACCCCCCCCCCCCCACCGTGTAGACTCAATTCACTGTTGGGGCAGGTGCTGTTAGCGAGCACCAATGAAGGCCGGCACGGCACACGGGGGGGGGGGGGGGGGGGGGGTAGATGGCCGGCGATGTTTACTAAACACCGCACCAGATACACATTTGAGGCCCAGGTCCGATTCAGATAATCGTTACTGGTGTTGGCCCGTGAACGGGAATCCAACCCGTGTCGCTGGGTTGGTAGGGCAGTGCACTTACCGCTGCACCACCGCACCACCAACAACCCTGTAAGTAATTCGCCAAGCACGCACTGCTCCCCCACGCGAGTATCGCCACCTCTCGCTTGCTCCCCGAGTTTGTGTTCACTTGGCGTGGCGGTGGCGAGATGTTCACTACCGCGCCTGATATAGAGGAGGTCGTTTTGGGTTCTATCGCCACCCTGACACCTGTATATTTGGAGTTTGCATGTTCTCCCCATGGTCGTGTGTATTTTCCTCTGGGTCGACCGGTTTTTCCCTCCATATTTAGAAACGTGTTTAGAGTGTGTATTTGGCTACTATAAGTTTGCACGTGATAAGCCACTTCGTTGAGCTATCATTTGTGGCCAGGTCACTTCTGGAAAAGAGCTATTATAGCTCAGTGGGTCTTACGGGGTCAAATTAAAATATTTTTTGTTTTTCGCATTTTTTTACTCTTACGGCTGCGGGCGGCTGCAGGAATTTGCCCAAGTGTAAACAACGATCGAGTTATTTATGTCGCGGGCTTTACAACAGTGTCTCCTGTTTGGATTTTCAGTGTTGATGTAAAGGTGTTGGCCCCTCCACCCCTATGCTTGTGTATAAATATTTACAATGGCCCTGCAGCCTATGACCAAATCACCCGGCGGACGCGCCGTGATCTCGTCGGAGGATCTCGCAAGCTAAGCGGGGTTGAGCCTGGGTAGCACTTGGATGGGCGACCTCCACCGTGCAGCAACAGGTTGCTTATATTTCGATTTAAAGCTTTCGTGACTGCAAGGATTCATCTTCTTTGGTTCTTTCGGTCGAGTCACACAAAAAAACGTCGTGAGAATATTGTGTTATTTTATTTTATCAATGTATTATTTTATTCTCATTCTACGTGACTTTACCGAAAGAACCAAAGAAGGTTGCTTATAGGTGGCCACCGTCACGGGGCGACGTGGTGGCCAGGAAGGGGGCCGTGCGGCAAAATCCACAGCCGCATCGTACTCATGTGCTCTCACCTCTTGTTACTTTCACAAACCCGCACTGATCAAAGTGGTGAAGTATGGTCAAATAATCATCTAGCAAGCGGATTGTTCGTGTACACCACGTGCAAGTCTTGTTTAAAAAAATAACATCGGCCACCGACACACACATCTGACACGCCACAGCTGAATTGTGTTTGCGAGTCAGCGTGGCCCGAGAAAATAACGGGCGTGCGTGCGTGGTTTATACAGTGTAGCGACGCTGGTGCTTGATGACGGGCATTCCAGCCGCTGACTTGTTGGGTGCTTGTTCGCTGTGAAGTCGCATTCCAGAACGGGGCCGGCATCGTAGCAGCTTCACGCAGCTGCAAGAGGCAGCGGGCCCGCCCAATGCGTTATTTATAACCACCGCTTAATATTTTGCAAGTGCGATTTCGAGTGCGTTTCATCGGGGTTTGCTGCGGCTGGCGTTCGAATGCTCGCTTGCGATGAAGTGGGATGCCTTTATTTGGGTGCAGCGATTAGTGCTCCGCGCTACGAACCCGGCGACCAAAGTTCAATTCCAGCTCACGGCCAACACCAGCGACGAATATCTGTACCGGTCCTGGGCCTCCCCTAGGTCGACTCGGCCACAAATTAGTACCTGGTGGAGTGTGTAAACATCGCCACTAGGGAGATCAAAGGCGGCCTGGCTGTGGTGCTGGCCACCCACCTCCTCGTGTACCGTGCCGGTCTTCATAGGTCCTCGCTAACAGCACTTGCCCCAACAGTCTGTTACAGGCTATGCGGGTGCTGTTTGTCTTTTGTTTTTGCCTACGATCATTGCTGTAGCATTGCCTGTTATTATGGAGAGGCGATAGTGCGTTATGCGATTGTGAAACGTACTGTAAAAGATTAATAGTAAAGTGTGCTCTGTGATTTAAATCAGGAGAGGCTTTTAAAAGCTTATTTTGAATAAAAAAAAGAGAACACATTGAATATGAGCATTATTGGACAGTTTCTGAGAGTTTAATCCGTGTGGTACTAGGCGTGTGACGATTCATGCCCTGGGCGATTTGATGAATTGTCACCATTCTGGGTCATGATTCGATTCAAGAATCAATAGATATTTTTGTAGAATTTCCATGCCTCTAGTGGCTGCAGGGATCATCGTGTGAACAAATCACGTGTGTGTGCCGTCACATGGCCGAGCAGTAATGTGTTTTGCCGCTTTTGTTGCAAAGGTCCACGGTTCTAATCCAGTGGCCTGCCTGATTAATCGGGGTGCCACGGTGGCAAAATGTTAACTACCTCGCCTGGTATACAGGAGGTCGTCGGTTCGATCCCAACCCTGACGCCTGTCTATTTGGAGTTTGCGTGGATTTTTCTCCGGGTCCTCCAGTTTTTCCCACCACATTTAAAACATGCATTTAGGGTATTTGGCTACGATAAATTTTCACGTGATAAGCCACTTGCTTGATTCATCATTTGTGGCCAGGTCGCTTCTGAAAAAAAGATACGTAGCACGTTGAGGCCTTACCTGGTAAAATCAAAAGTTTAGTTGAGTTTAGCTGGTTTAATACTGCGGGTGTATTGCCTATAAATAACGAGGCACCGTCTGCTTCACAGTGAACATTCAACAGCCCGGACCGTCATTCGAAAAAAGAGTAAGCCACTGTGTGCTGATATCATGGTCCAAATTAATCAAATATGGAATTTTACCTGCAAATTACTTGGATTATACAAGGGAATCGCTGCCTCTTGGAAAAAACCTTGGCAGGATCCTCCTGAAAAAGAGGGGGTCATGAGCCTCACTGATGATTTCCTGGGTAAACAAGCATAATAGGAATACAAATAATAATGTGCAAATCAAACAAGCGAATCTTACACGCATGCACACAATCAAGTTGATTCGTATATTGTGACTATGATAATATATTTCAATCGATAAACCATACTTCATTATAACCCGATTTGGACATCGCCACATTGTACGAATAAAAAAAAACTTTTATTGTGTTATGATTCGTGCCTTTTTTGTTTCATGTTTTTACGTTAATTGTGTACGGTATTGCTCAGGAGGTCGTGGCTTCGATCCCGGCGGTGCCTGTTGTATATTTGGAGTCCGCGTGATCTCTCCCCCCCCACCGTGGTGGTCGAGAGGATTGTTCTCCGGGTTCCTCCGGTTTTGCCCTCCACATTAACAAAAAATTACGCATGCTTAGATCGTTGTAACTGCTACGACAGTCTAAATGCCCACGTGTTATGATGACATAAGCCACTTCGAAGAGCTACCATGTGTGGCCAGGTCGTCTCTGAAACAGAGCTAATAATTCGGGGGGGGGGGCGGTGCGGGGGGGGGAGGCTTTACCTGGTAAAATAAAATAATAGTTGCACAAATTTTGCCGATGAGATAAGAAAAAGCACGTTATGGGCTTGGTGCCGATACCCTTGCACAAGCGAGCAGGTGGCACGTGGCATTGTTTCGTTCCAATCAACGTGTTGTCATCTTCTGCATCTCTTTCAGGGCTCATTTTAAAGAAGCTGCTTCATTCTGGAAACTCTCTTAAAGTAAGCTGTGTTTTTTTTTTATCTTAGCTTGGACATGCATTTGTGTGTTTTGTTTTTGTTTAACAGCATAGCTTGGACATGCATTTGCTGTAGCTTTGAATAAAGAAAGAGGAAAATAAAAGTTGTATAGTAATTTGTGAATGCTATTATACAGTTTTTGCTTTTTGACGATGAAAAAAATCTTATCACGAGCTTGTTTGATGCAACCTCATGTTGCTTGTGGGTACATATTAGATGTTCCAAAGTTTAATTGCTTCAAGTACAATGCATGTCTGTCGAAAGGGAGTCGCCATCTTTCCGTAAAGTTGGGAAAAAATTTACTTTTCGGTGTCCCTACTTAATGAAGTTGCGATCGCTTTAACTTTGCATTATTTGTTGCGAACCAAGCGGGGTGAAAGCACGCCTTTACACAAATCAAAGCAATGGTACCAATACGTCGTTGGCTGCTTCACGCATGAAATGGTGGTGAGGGGGTTGTTGGTCAGAACAACATTTTAAAACGGCGGTGGTTACAGTACGCTGCGCAATGAACCCGTCGACCCTAGTTCGATGCCCGGCCGCGGCGAGCATCGGTGGCAAACGATACCAGAACCGATGTCTCTGCCCCCACTACACCAAACCCGCACCTGCCCGGCGTTGGGGAGAGGTCTTCATTGGTGAATTTGGAATGGCTGAAATGCATTATTATTATTATGACTATTGGTTATTATCTGAGCATGTGGTGTCACCACTGCTCACTCTGGGTTGTGGATTTGTGATGCGCGTTGCCCGTTGCGTGTGGCTCTCATGTGCTTCCTGCCCCCCCGCCTCCCTCCGACCCCACCCCCGACAGCTGCGACGTGAAGGGGTGCGGCTCTTCCTGCTGTGGATCCAGGCTCTTCAGGGAAACTGCTCGGAGGAGCAGAGGCTGATCTTCGCCTGCCTCATACCCGGATTTCCCCTGCCCCTGTCCGAGCAAGGCCCCCGCTCTCTGGAGACCCTCATCAACCCTCCGCTCGCCCTGCAAGAGGGCACAGGTGCGCGCTCTCGCGCTACGGACGGTGTGAAAAACCACGTTAGCTGCGGTCAATCTACTGCTGGATGATGGCCTCCCTGCCACAGCTGCTGACATTTTTCGCGGTCTCACGATGCAACAGTGCATCCAACTCCTGCAAGCGAACTTTCATTTTAACGGTGCCGTCTCCGCAGCGGACGTGCTTTCGAGCACCTAACCTCCACAAACTGGGTCCAGTAATAATGACTGATTTACAGCTCTTTGTCGCTTGAAGGCCTTGCCGTGCCTAGCCTGGTCACAGAAGGTTTTCTGACCATACTTCACCGCCAGTGTAACTGTGGGCTAGTATGGCTAGCGGGCGGGAGGGGGCACTGAGGGTAGCGAAGTGGAGGGGGGGGGTTGCGTGGGGGGGGGCGCGGTTGGAGGGGGGGGCGAGGTGGGGGGGGAGGTAGGGGCGGCAGGTTCCCAGGACTGGTTGCAGATGGGCCTCGCGACCGATGCTCGCCATGACTGGGAATTGAGTTCAGGTCGCCGTGTTCATTGCACCCTCTAACCACTCCACTCCTACACAGAAATGTTTTTTGGAAAAACAAAAGTGTACAGTGGTTCATGGATATAATTAAGAAGCAAGGATATGGTGGCTGACAACCTCTATTTACCCTTCGCAAAGAGAGCCGGCTGTAATTTGACTGCATATCCAATTACACCCTCGGTTAATTGTTGCACTTAGGCTGCGTGCTTACTAAAGCGTAATAACGTAGACCACTGGCTTACTGCAATAAAAGAATGAGTCGGATGTAATTCATGTGGCGTCAGGCGTCACGTTGCTGATGTGCCTGTGTAAGTCACGTATCATTTCTAGATGTCCGGCCAGGTGGCTTAGTGGTCGAACGTGCGACTCTCAATCGCAACAGCGCGAGTTCCAATCCTGGTTATTTGGGGTTGGTTCAGCCCATCATCCCGTAAAAGAGTCAATAAAATAGGTCTCACTTTGTTGAGAAGTCAACAGTGGTTGTCCTCTACATAGACTCACCCCCGACATAATAATGTGGAATTTCCACCAACGGTTTAGGTCTGTAAATAGGAGGAGATTAGCACCGCCTCGTTTCATTTGAGCAGGGAACCCCATTGTAAATCTGTGAGAAAAAGCTGCATAGCTAATCGGCTTCATTCAGAAAAAATAAATATTCCGATTCTGTAATCCCAGTGCAATTGAATAGTTTCAAGTAGCGATTCGGTTTTTAAATGTAACACAAAGTATGGAATCTTTCAGGTTTCTCTCATGAACATTTACAGGAAGTGCTCGTTTAACAAGTTTTGGCGATGTACACACAGAAAATGAGATGGCGTGTACTGTATCACTGTACCGCTCAGCCGTGCAGCTCAAGAAAGTAGTTCATCATCGACTGCGTTATAACGGTGTGGGCATTATAACGGTGTGCGCATTATAGCGGTGTGCGCGTTCCGCTTTATAACGGTATCGCGTTCCACGTTAGAACGGTATGCGGGTTCCACGTTATAACAGTGAGCACGTTCCACTTTATAACGGTATCGCGTTCCACGTTATAACAGTGAGCACGTTCCACTTCATAACAGTATCGCGTTCCACGTTATAACGGTGAGCGCGTTCTGCTTTATAACGGTATCGCGTTCCACGTTATAACAGTGAGCACGTTCCACTTTATAACGGTATCGCGTTCCACGTTATAACGGTGAGCGCGTTCTGCTTTATAACGGTATCGCGTTCCACGTTAGAACGGTATGCGGGTTCCACGTTATAACAGTGAGCACGTTCCACTTTATAACGGTATCGCGTTCCACGTTATAACAGTGAGCACGTTCCACTTCATAACAGTATCGCGTTCCACGTTATAACGGTGAGCGCGTTCTGCTTTATAACGGTATCGCGTTCCACGTTATAACAGTGAGCACGTTCCACTTCATAACGGTATCGCGTTCCACGTTATAACGGTGAGCGCGTTCTGCTTTATAACGGTATCGCGTTCCGCTTTATAACGGTATCACGTTCCGCTTTATAACGGTATCACGTTCCACGTTATAACAGTGAGCGCGTTCCACGTTATAACGGTATCGCGTTCCACGTTATAACGGTGTGCGCGTTCCGCTTTGTTCGAAAAGTGTTCCCTAATGGAAGAACCGCGTCATAGCGAAACCGTGTTTGAGTGCGAACATCACACGCTAACCGGCGACTTTACGAACATTATTGACTCATCTGTACACTCCTCCTTCCACGCAGCCCAAGTTATTCCGGAAGAGATAACGCCACTCATTCCACCACAGTCATCTGACAAAGCTCAGGAAGATCCCACAATCTACTTCTTGGATGCACTGTTGAAGTACATGGTGAACCAGGTGAGTCATCTGCTTCTGAGTGAGCGATTACAATTGTTGAGGCGTATCGTGCCATTTCACAGTGTCCATAGTAGTTTTTATGAAGCAAAAGCTTGGGTTGCCCTGCTGAAATCGTGGCTTGTTCCATGTGCACCGTTCATAATTGTGAATTGTTTAATAAAGATTAAACACCTTCAAATATATCGGAATGTGCCCAATGTTATCATATCTAGGAAACTGAGCGGGGTTAAGCCTGGTGGTTAGTGCTCAGATGGGGAACCATTTCCACCACCCACAAACAGGCTGTGATAGGGCTGGCAGGATAACTGTTGGGCAACAGAGGGCAGTGCTGACATTTTTTTACATTTCTTTCCTTCTGCGCTGTCCGCCTCCACCAACCAGCACCAACCAGCGTGGGGAAATGAACTCAGAATCAGAATATTTACTAATGCTGGAGAAATACTGGAGGGATCCAGTATAAGGAATCAAGTATAAGTAAATCAGCAAACAATAAAAAAAACATGATAGGAGTATGGGATAGGTAAGCAAGTCACTAAAAATGTAATGAAACTAAACCATTTTTTTAAATAAAACTAAACTCTGATAACCCCCCCCCCCCAACCCCCGTGACCCGGGGGAGACCATCCAGCAGTGGATTCACAAACGGCCCTGTGGTGTGCGTGGCACTTGACGGGACACCAGCCTTGCCACAAGCGTCTTGGTCCGACCACCCTGCTGTGCTGTGCCCTGTGCAGGCCAAGAGCTTGGAGTGGAAGGACAAGGAAAATCAGGAGAGGGGATTCGCGTTCCTCTTTGTAAACTTCAAAAACTTCTACTTGCCTTACATCTTCCCCAGCTTCTCGTGGGAAATCAGCTTGTATCACCCGGTCATCGGTATGTGCTCTCCTCTCTCTGCCTGTTGACAGGAAGTACGCGCTGCTGCTTTGGAGGGGGGGGGGGGGGGCGGTGGGTGGGTGGGGGTCATGTTTATTTTCGTGTGGCGCCAAATTTCTGGAAACCACGTCTTCGCGAGCCGCTGGGCAGCGCAGGGGACACACGTGTTCCACGTGCACCTTGAATAATTGTGAATTGTTAAAGAAAGATAAACACATATTCTTGGTTCTTTCGGTAAAGTCACGTAGAAGGGAAACAATAAAATGATAAAAATGTAAAACAGTAAAATTCTCACGACGTTTCGACTGCAACACAAGCAATCATCATCATCAGGTGTGAAAACCACAGCAAATTTTATTGTTCTATATTTTTATTATTTTCTTGTTTCCCTTCTACGTGACTTTACCGAAAGAACCAAGAATATGAATCCCTGCAGTCACGAAAGCTTTAAATCAAAAGATAAACACGTTCAAATATATCGGAATGTGTCCAAATCGGAATAGCTTAACCGGGAGATTAAATGATTCCGTTGAGGCGCGTGAAACCTTGCCTCTGTTACAAGGTGCGATCTGGGTGCGTAGTTTTTTTTAATTCTGCTCTTCACGGGCGTATCGGTGCAGGCCAGAAAGCAGAGCAGTAAATGCCACGTAAAATGTTTGCTCTATTTGTTTGTTTTTCTTCCGCTGTGCCAAAGTGTGACGGTTTTCCTTTTGGCAGCAGCCATCAGCTTTCTCCTCTGCTGCCCCTGTAGTGGGGCGCCGGGCGGTGGCGAGATGTTATCTCCTTTGCCTGGTATGCAAGGAGGTCGTGGGTTCGATCCCGACGCTGACGCCTGTTGTATGTTTGGAGGTTTGCATGTTCTCCCAGTGGTCGCGTGGAATTTTGTCTGGGCCCTCTGGTTTTTCCCTCCACATTGAGAAACAATCATTCAGAGTATTTGGCCGCTACTATAAATTCCCACGTGTGATGGTAAAGCCTTTTATAAGCTATAATCTGTGGCCAGTTTACCTCTGAAATAGCTCAGTGAGCTTTACCTGGTAAATAAAATAGTTTTGTTTATATTCGTTGAGTTTCATAATCTGAGCCCTCTGCCTACCACTGTTTTTTCTCTCTCTCTCTCTCAAGCAGATGTCCCCTTTTCCCAGCATGCCCACGTCCCACTTGTGTTCAACATTTTGAGATCATATTTAGTCCCTTCGTTTTAGTTTTTATAGCGCTGCGCTACGAACTCGGCCATCTTTGTTCATGTTTTTGTTTGTTGCGGTTGCACCCGAGTCAAGAGCCGCCGCATGGCTCAGGGCTATGCCGAATAAATGAAAAAAAATGAACTGAACCTGGATAATCTCTTGAGATGAAACTGCTCATTTGCAAGGCTGTCTCCAGAACATCAATCCGCACATAGCTAGCGCATCATGACACGCATATTAATATTTTTCTTCTATAACTTGCGCAAGTGCTTTACAAGTATTACAATGAACGTCTGGACCAGTCAAACGCAATGGTGAATACGTCAATAATGTAATGTTTCACAACGCCAGTTGGCATGCATTGATCTCCGTCTGGAACAGTTGCAGATGTTGCGTAAGAAGTGTTTTAATTCAATAGTTCTACAAGTTGAGACCGGAGGCATATTACCGTGTGTCCGGGAGAATATAACTCCCCAAACTGTAATGTGTTTGAGAACAAGTGATGGACTGGACTCAACAGATGCTCAGGCTTCTGATGTGTTTTCGGGATTGTACCGCGTGTTGTTGGCCGTGTGACGTCCCGACGTTTCGCTCCGCGGTGCCAGGAGTTCATCCAGGAACCAAAGACGGCACGACCGTGAACTCGCGCGAAAGCGTTTAGCGTCCATGAGCCAAAAGCGCGGTTCACAGTTCCGCGCTCTCTCGAGTGCGTGGGGAGCGGTAGTGTAGCGGTTAGCGCGCTGTGCTATGAACTCGGCCATCCGAGTTCGATTCCCGCTCACGGCCACCAAACAGTGACGATTATCTGAACCGGTCCCGGGCCTCCCCTAGGTCGACTCAGCCTCAAATGCATGTATGTATGTTGACATTTATTTACACCGTAGCCAAACGCGCAAATCGGAGGTGCGCGCGGTTTATTGACATCGCCACTGGGGAGACGATGGCTACCGGCCACGGTGCTGGCCACCCACCCCCTCGTGTTCCGTTCAGGCCTTCATAGGTGCTACTCGCTAACGGCACTTTCCCCAACAATCTGTTGGAGGCAATACGGTTGTGGTGGTGGGCGACCTTTGTCTTTGCCCTCCCGCACGCAGACATCCCCCAGTGGAGGTCGAGGCCACACTATGTCCTCATCGGCAAGGACGCCGAGACCAACCACGCCATCTACTGCACCAAGGAGCCCTTCCTGGCGGCGCGCGTCTCCGTCGTCAAGTGGCTCGTCGCCTTCTGGCTCGAGTCCAAACCCATCGCCATCCCCAAGCTGCCCGGCGTCGACGGGGAGGACGTGCCAAAGAACATTCAGGTTGGTCAGCGTCGCGTGATGGTGGACTGTCTCAACTAAACAACACTGAAAATCCAAACAGGAGACACTGCTGTAAAGCCTGCTGTGTAAATAATTTTGTCGTTGTTTACACGTGGGCAAATTCCCGCAGCCGTCCGCTGCCGTTAAACGATTCAAAAACTATTTTAATTTTACCCCAGGTAAGGCCCACTGAGCTGGATAGCTCTTTTTCAAAAGCGACCTGGCCATCGCATATGATAGTTCAGCGAAGTGGCTTATCAACGTATGTTAATTTATCGCGGACAAATATTCTAAGCGCATGTTGAATCTAAATGTGGAGGGAAAAACCGGAGGACCCGGAGAAAAATCCACGTGGCCACGGGGAGATAGAACATGCAAACTCCAAATATACAACAGGCGTCAGGGTAGGAATCGAGCCCACGACCTCCTGCACATCAGGCGAGGTTAAATAACATCTTGCCACCGCGAAGCCCTGTGCAACTTCAAATACAAACTGAACCAGTCCGTGGCCTCCCCCTTCAAATGTATACCTTGTGCGATATGTAAATATCGCGGGGAGGCGCGGTGCCGATGGAACACAACATTTTTGATGACACATTATGAACTTAATAACGATGTATGTCACTTTGTCAATCCACTGCTTGATGGAGCTCTCCCCATGCCATGTTGGTTGTGTGGATTACTTGGCCGTGCTGGCCACCCACCCCGCCTTGTGTGCCGTGCCAGCGATTGCCCTCTCGGTCCAAGGCTCTAGGGGGGGATCTTTGTCTTAGTGCCATGTGGCATGACAGTGGGGGGCTGTCCCCGACCCCCCCCCCCCCCCTTTTAACAATAACTGGACAGGGGAGGTAGGATCAAATTGTCTTTGATCCGTTTCACGTGTAAAGATGTGTCTGCACCGTTAGCCTATATGCAACAAAATCAATTTTCACTCGTCGTCATTGGTAAATTCTCACGCGCGCGCCGTGTGTGTCGCGACGGCTCAATCGCCGCGCCTGCTCAACGGTTGCGCGCGCGCGTCTCTCTCCCCGTGTGGTGGCCGAAAGCGAGCAGCGGCGGGCTACGCGATCGCGGAGGAGCAGCGGGTGTGCGTTGGCGAGACGCGCGACAGCGTGACGGGGGGAGGAGGAGGAGGAGGAGGAGGGACAGGCGGGAACGGCGGTGGCTGTGGCGGCGTTGGTGGCGGCGGCGGCGGCAGCGGCCCCGGGATAGCGATGGGGCTCGGTGCCGGCGGCGGCGGCGGCGGCGGCGGCGGCGCGGGTAGCGGCTCCCAGCCCGAGGGGCAGGAGCAGCAATCGCACTCGAACACGAGCACGCTGACGGAGCGCGAGCCCAGCACCTCCAGCCTGTGCAGCGTGGACGAGGAGCACCTGTCGGACGCCGAGATCGCGCGCAAGGTCTTCCACTCGTCGCGCGAGAACGTCAACTTTGTCATCGAAGTCTTCCGCCAGGTCAGCAGCGCCGCGCCCCGTGTGTGTGGCATTGCACGTCGTTGCGCGTGCGTGCTGGTGTGTGTAGCGTCTCCCGTTTCGCAAATACGTCGTAGCTTTATTATTAATACCGCTGCCTGATTTCCGTCGTTTCAACCCCACGCTGACATCGCTGACAGCATCATCGTCCATTCTTTATTGTATTCAACGCCTCTCAGCCTTCGCCTCCACCACCTGCTACCCTGTAAATCGCTGAGATTTTTGTCGTTTCGACATTTGTCATTGCACCTTTCAGGATCGCATCCCCCCCGACTTTAACCGGGGTATTGTAGAATAATTTAATTAACAAAGGAGGCAAAGGATTATATATTCCAGCTGTGGATTTTGCTGCCCAGCGCTGCTCTCAGCAAGCATATCCCCACCAATATAGCACACAAGTTTATACAGACACACTTGTTTATTCCCAAGCCTGTATCATCCTCCTGCCTGTTTTTTTTCATTCTACAGTGTGGGTGTAAGCCAGACTGGTTATTTTTCCCGTTACTTTGTACGGTATCCCGTAGAATAGTTATTTTTTTTTTTAAATGTTTTGCCAGGCTGTTTTCGTTTGTCCGCAAAAATAAGGCAATTGCTTAGGCGTAAATTATTAGGGAAATTGTCTTTGGTTTGTCAAGTCATAAAATGTCATTTAGTTTGGCTCACAGCATTGTCTTGTTCACGTGAATAATTTTCAAATGTAAGCACTTGAGCTTTGAAGAAACGTGCACCATTGTCTCACTGAAAACTTAGAATATACCGCGTTTGCAGTGCTCAGTATTGACTTACCCTTTTAACGATTGACGGTTGTCAGATCGCAGAGCAACTGTGTCCGCGCTATGCTCCACTCTGTCCAGGAGGTGGTGCAGCAGCACTGAGTGTGGATGACCTACACACACAACCTATGCCAATACCCGCTCATTCGCCACTAGTGACGGTGACGTCACCACGGCGCTTGTGCCAGACCAAGTGCACTTTGAGGCCACGTGCAGTGTCGAAGGCTCGCTAACAGGAGGTCTCGGGACGGACCCAGATGCAATGGGTTGGCCGACTTAGACGACCGGTAGATGCACCAGCTGTACCCCCTACTGTGCCAATTTTCTGCATTTTAGCCTCCCGGCGCTCTGCTACACACACAACACAGTCTATTGAACAGTGTAAAGTGGTATGGTGCGCATATCGATATGTATGTTATTTGTCTTTGTGTAAGTGTCTGGGGAGAGGTGGCACAGCGGTTACCGCACTGCGCTACGGACACGCCGGCCCGCGTTAGATTCCCGCTCATGACCAACACCGGTGACGATTATCTGAACCGGTTCTGGGCCTCCCCTAGGTTAACTCATCCTCAAATGAGTACCTGGTGTGGTGTGTTGTAAACATCGCCACTGGGAAGACAAAGGCGGCCGCGTGTGGTGTTGATGGAATACAACGTTTGTGATGTCCCTTTGTGAATCCACTGCTGGATGGAGCTCTCCTCATGCCATGTCGGTTGTGTGGATTACATGACCATACTTCTTCATAATAAAGGTTTTTGGGTTAGATCGCGTTATTTATAAATGTGTCGTAACCCTCCATCACCCGACCTGGCCAATCAGTAAAAAATGCGTCACGTTGACAAAAGACAAATAGTTCAACACTTTAGCCCACCGGTGTGGTGAAGAGTGAATCCACAACATTTACAATTTTGAGTACTACGTTTCGCTGGTAATTACATCCAGCATCATCGGGAAATTTGCCAGAATAGTGAAGCCATCCACCTGCTCCCGGTCTTAAATAGAGCAGCAGCAGGGTGACGTCATCATTTAACCCAATCTGGTGCAGAAATCAGAGGTGGCGGAGGGTGGGGTTATTGTCATTACATACTACGTTAGTAATCAGTTAATTGTTATCTGTTTCCCCTAAAAGGAATTGTAATATGTATTATTTAATAATACGCTTCAGATTGGGTATAGTGATTGGATTAAATTAAATAATACACATTACAACTTATTAGTAATCTACAAATGATTACTAATCATAACAATTAACTGATTACTAATCTATTATATAATTATAATACCCCCCTCTCCGCCTCTGATCTCTACATCTGATTGGGTTAAATGATGACGTCACCTTGCTGCTCTATTTAAGACCGGGAGCAGGTGGAGGGCTTCACTATTCCGCCAAATTGCCTGATGATGCTGGATGTAATTCTAGATTTAAAGCTTTCGTGACTGCAAGGATCCATACTCTTTGGTTCTATTCGGTAAAGTCACGTAGGTAAAAAATAAAACAACAAAAATCACGACGTTTCGGCCACAACACAAGCGGCCTTCATCAGGTGAAGGGATCAGGCTGTCTCGAGGACAGCGCTGGAGTGAAACACAGCCACGCTCAGACCGCGACCTTTATGCTGTGTGCGAGGAAACAAGGTGCCTTGACAAAGGAATTAGCATATGCTAATTCTTTTGTCAAGGACTTTACGTGAAGGAATAACACAAATGCACACCACGTTTTCTCATTGAAAATAGACACATTTCAAAATATCACTGTCCTGGTCAATAACATCAATTTTCTATACTTTCGAGGCATAAGCATTTAGAAAATAGCACTTACTACCCAGGAACAAAAATCGTGTTACATAGTGTATTTGCTGTGACCTGGAATTGGTCACGGGGTTAACAGCGGTAGTGCGCTAAGGTCCCCACCACATTCCTCTTTCACATCCATGTGTAATGGTTACGCAGCAGGAGTGGATTGTTTTCATACGTTGCCTCACATGGGATTGCATTGTGTCGCACGAAGGTGGAATTTCGCAGCACAATAGATCCTGCTGGGGATTGTGTATTCAATTGTTCCGAGTATTGTTGCGAACACATTTCGTGTTTTCACCAGCGTTTTAATTCAAACCCACATGACCTCTGCATTGCATGGCAGCCGAAACCTCATTGCTTATCCGGCTGCACAATGTATGGACCACCGTCGGGTAAAGCGTCGATCTACGTACGATTAATGGCCGTTCTGTGCTCGCGCTACATTCAGACTCGCGGAACAAATGGGACAGAACAAACGAAAATACTTTTGTTTTACCCGGCAAAGCTAAACAGCTCGTTGCAACGACAATACAAACGAGAGCGTGTACACACGAGACAAAAACACGTGTTTTCCTTGGTCACCCACCAGCGACCTACACTATAGACAAGGGCCGTCGCCCCGGCACATTGCCCTTTTCAAGGCCGCGCGGCGTCATTGACCTGAACGTTTTTGAACTCGCTCTAAACTTTAAACAAAACACTCTTATTTTACCAGGTAAGGCCCACTGAGCTATGTAGCTCTATTTTTCAAGAAGCGACTTGGCCACAAATGACAGCTCAATGAAGTGGCTTATCACGTGGACAAAATATTAGTAGCCAAATGCCCTAAACGCATGTTTCCAAATGCGGAAGGATAAAACCGGAGGACCTGGAGAAAAATCCACGCAGCCACGGGGAGGACATGCAAATACCAAATATACAGGCGTCGGAGGTCGGCCTCGAAGCCACGACCTCCTGTATACCAGGCGAGGTAGTTAACATCTCCTAGCCACCGTGTTCGCGGGCTCACGGTTCTTTCCTCTGTGCTGGGGGGCGGTGGGGGATGTGCAGGCTTTCCTGTTGCCCATCTGCGAGGCGGCAGCCATCCGCAAGGTGGTGCGCGTGTACCAGGAGTGGATCCAGCAGGGGGAGCGGCCGCTCTTCATGAAGGAGCCCGAGGAGGCGCCGCCTCCTCACCTTCGCCCACCGCCGGCCAGCGGTGCCAAGGCCAGGACGGCGGAGAGCGACAGCAACGGAGCCGAGGTAGAAATTCGAAGAAGCTCATGTTCGGACGGAAAGACTGGCATTTGCGCGAGCGCACATTGAGTAGGGAGGGGGGGACGTGCCTCTCTTTGCACATTGCTGGGGCCGATAGAAATCAACGGTGGTGCTGTTCGTTTCTAATAATAATTGACATTTGTTAGGCGCACTTCATTCGTAGATCTCAGTACGCCACCGTGTATGGAGAGCAGGGAATTAAGAAACCTGCATGGTCAACGGCCAGAACTCTGGGGGGGGAGGGGCGTTAAAGGCCAATTTAAAGAGGTGAGTTTTAAAGACAGACTGAAATATATCAAACGACTCTCATTGTCTTATTAGCAAAGGCAAGGCGTTCCAAAGCTTTACATCTGCAGTACCGAAAGCCGGATCACTGCTGTTAACTCGATAGACTGCTGTTGATGCATGCAGTCTGTGTCCGTGATAAGCCGCGTCTTGCAAAGTGAATGTACACACGAGAGCTTGGCCATCCTATTATTTAAATAATTGATAACTCTACTGATAATTATCGGTGGGATTTATTATAATCAATTTGACTCATCGGATAACACAAAAACCAGTCCAGAACACATGGCCTACGTACATTTGTCAACCTAAAAATCAGCAATTGTCTCTCCACTGCTGGATCAAGACCTTCTCCATGCAGTAACTGTCAACCGTGGGCATTGTTTGACCATACTTCACTTTGCTGGTCTGAAGGAAGAACATTTTCTCCCATGACTCGCCGAGTAGTCGGCTCGTGTGAATTCCCCGGGGCGCCACGGTGGTGGGATGTTAATTCCCTCGCCTGGTATACAGGAGGTCGTGGGTTCAATCCCGACCCTGACACCTGCTGTATATTTGGAGTTTGCGTGGTCTTCACGTGGTCGTATGGATTTTATCTCCGTGTCCTCCGGTTTTTCCCTCCACATTTAGAATCAACATCACGCGTTTAGGGTATTTGGCTGCTATAAATGTACACATGACGAGAAGCCACTTCTCGTTGAGCTATCATTTGTGGCCAGGTCGCTTCTAAAAAAAGAGCTGTGTAACTCAATGGGCGTTACCTGCTCAATTAAAATATAAATCAATTTTAATTTAAAGCTTTCGTGACTGCTGGGATTCATATTCTTGGTTCTTTCGGTAAAGTCACGTAGAAGGGAAACAATAAAATAATATTTTTTATTAAATAATAATTTGTATTATTTTATTGTTTCTCTTCTACGTGACTTTACCGAAAGAACCAAGAATTTAAAATATAAATAGGTGACAATAAATATAAAATCTTCTGGGCTCTCAAGCTTCCTTGCTACATCAAAGAAACATATCAACAGGATAAGAGCCATTTGTCTTTCACATTGCATCTTATGAACCATGAGTGCCACCGTAAAATTTAACTGCGCCCTTTGCCGTAACCTAAGCTTTATTTTAAATATCACCGTGTACCATTGTTTGTCAAACGAGTGCTCCATTTTCCTGATGGCAATGATACAACAACATTTCTAGATTAATACATTTTTCCGAATAATAGCACATCTTCAAGGTGTCGTACCTGCATCTACGGCAGAGAACAAAAGACGCAAAAACGATTAATGGCATTGTGTTGAAAGGCTCTAAATTATTATGAAAATACATAATGATCCTAATTTTAATTAGACCTCTTCGAATTTGCTAGCTCGTGATTCCAACAAGGCGGCTTCAATGACATGAATTAATTCGTGAGGATTGCATTTGCGCCCCCCTGAATATGTGTAGATCATCACCCCTTAATTGCATTATTTGAATGCGTTGAATTTTGGCGGGGGGGGGGGGTGGGGGACGTAGAAAACTCATTGGCAGAAGATGACAACGAGACAAGCTGCTTGTCACCAAATGGGGTTGTGTAAGAGTGTCTGTTGAATAGCGAATCGTGGCTCGAGACCTGATGATGGTGGTGATTTTTTTTTTACCCCTACGCATATTCTGTGAATGTTCTGCCCATGCCATTCATCTCCCGCACCTCTGATGAGCACGGTTGGCTACGTACAGTGCGAAAGAAGTTCAGCGTACATGCGTCTCGTGGCCGCGCGCTTTCTCTCCTTCGCTATTTTTCTTGTAATCCACGGAAGCTTATTGCAGACTCACGGCAGTTAAAGTAATCCTTGCGGCAAGGCGACAGAATACATGCGTGTGCGTGGTTCGTTTCCTCGTTTTGCGCTTTTCTCCATGTTCTCAGCAGTTGGCGGAAATGTGACTTTGCTGCTATTGTCGTTAACGGTGAGGTTACTGATGAAAAGTAACTGGGAGGTTTTACCCTTTCAGGCAAATAAACAGGGGTTGTGTTAAGATGTTCAAACAAGCCATCAAGCCTGCCTTAACCACACGTACTCGTGGCAAGAACACGCTCGGATTATATATTAATTTTCTTTGTAACTGATTGGCCTCGACCAGAGGACAGCCTTTTTATGGCCTTTTCTCACCAGTGTTCGACCAGGGAACGCCAAAAGGCGAACAGTACAAAGACAATGCAAGTGTCAGTCCTTTGTTGTCGTCCCGCACCTCCGATAAGAACGGTTGGCTACGTACGGGCGCGAACGAAGTTTAACATTCATACATCGGAGGGGTTTATAGCTCGGGTTGCTCATCCGTTTCACCCTTCCAGAGAAAACTGCCGTCGAGTAAAGGTGGCGCAGGGCACGCGCGCACTCCCAGCTGGACCCGGAACTCCTCCTACGAGGACGCCATCAACAAAGCGTCGGAGATGGACGACGGCAACAGGAGCCTCTACGCGGGGGTGCAGGCCACCCTGCAGGTCAGCGGCCCGATCCCGAGCGTGTACCCCCCCCCCACCCATCATCGTCCCGCCCCCCCACCCCCCCCCCCCCCTCAAACCGTATACCGAGCCGAGGGTCACAAATACTAAAAACTAAAAAGCAGATTGACACGAGCCGTTTAACCCAGAGGCTGATAAAGCCTTGGGCCCTCATCTGTGTGTAGGGCCCTCCTTTAAAACTAAACTATCAAACTATTTTCATTTTAGCAGCTAAGGTCTGGCCTTCACAAAAGGTAAGCTCAACAAAGTGGCTTATCGTCGTGTTGAAATTTATAGCCGCCAAATACGCGAAAACACGCGATGTCGATTCTAAACGTGGAGGGAAAAACCGGAGGACCCGGGGAAAAATCCACGTGACCACGAGTAGAGAGACATGCAAACTCCTAATATACAGCCGACGTCTGGGTTTGGATAAAACACATGACCCCCTGTATACCAGGCAAGGTAGTTAACATATCGCCATCGTGGCGAGCTGTTAACTACCTTTTGCAATTTATACTTCGAATATACAATTACCGTGGTGTGTTTATTCAAGACAGTTTATTTTAGGAACCGATCGTGCCATTGTGTGCCGAATAAATGTAAATAAAAAGTTAAATGTTTAGTAAGCGTACATTGCGTGTGTTTTTTTTACTACATAGTGAATGAATATTCACGTTGCATCTTTGGTGGAGCGATAGCGTTGACCTATGAACTCGGCGATCCGAGTTGGATTCCCCGCTCATGAATAACTATCAGCGGTCCCGTGGTCCCACTCCTTTACCCCCCCCCCCCCCCAACTACCCCCCACTGCCCAGTGTGGGGTGAAGTATGGTCAAATAACTCCCACGACCGACACACTGCGCGAAGGCCTCCGGCCTACGTCCAGGTGTAGATTGACGACAGGCGCAGTAATGTATGTGTGTTGAACTTCTCTCATACCGTGCGTAGCCAACCTTGCTGGCTACGCTATTGGAACAACGCCGTCTCTCTTGGGTAAGTGCCGTTGCACGGTGACGTCTCTTCCCGTCTCTGTGCGCGCAGGTGTTTCTGACCACATCGGTGAACGTGTTCCTACTGGAACCCAGCAATGACATCCCCAAGCTGCTGGACGAGCACGTGGACATGTGCAAAAGAGTGCTGAACATCTACCGGCACATGGTGATGAACACGTCCATGAACAAGCAAACTTGGTGAGACATTGGTGCCACCGGCAGCAGCAGCAGCAGCAGCTGTTTGTTTTTTGCCAGTTAATGCGGTGGGTCTGCGATTCTATGTAATTTGTTTCAGACCATGGGATTAAGTAAAAAAAAAAATGTATATATTTAAACGTCGATAGATTTCGTGAATGTGTGGGACTGCATCGTGATTGGGCGAGAGTGTCAAATGATGGTGCTGTTGACTTTTACAGGGAGCAACTCCTCTTGGTTCTTTTGAGGATCGCGGAAACGGTTTTCAGGAAGCTTCCGCAACAAGCCAAATATAGGACGTTAGCTGGAAAGCTGGCCGGACCAATATTCCAGGTGAACTTGATGTTTATCTATAAAATATTTCCCCCCCGCATCTCCGATGAACACGGTTGGCTACGTACGGCGTGAAAGAAGGTCAATATATATACACATACACACACATACACGCACGTCAAAGTCAATAATATTAGCCACTGTTGAAGTTTATTCTTTCGTTTAAGCAGGTGAGAACTCATTTGCAAGGGGTGGCCAGGGGAAAGGATTGCTCCGAATAATCTCAAATGAGTAATCCACGGGTAATTTTTCAAACGGTAGCGTATAAATAATTAGACCGCGACTCCGGCACGCGATGGACTACTCGAACCGTGAAGGAGACGGCGGGCAAATCCGACGGTTTACACGCGACAGGATGTGTCGGAAATTCGCGAAAACACTCGATGTCGATTCTAAACGTGGAGGGAAAAACCGGAGGACCCGGGGAAAAATCCACGCGACCACGAGTAGTGAGACATGCAAACCCCAAATATACAACCGTCGTCTGGGTTTGGATAAAACACATGACCCCCTGTATACCAGGCAAGGTAGTTAACAGCTCGCCATGATGGCGATCAATCAAACTTCATTTCTTTAAAGGTGCCTTTTTTAAAACCGAGGCCCCTTTGCGCAAAGTATGTATTATCCTCCATTAAAGCTCTAAAACCATGCAATTAAAAGAGTAATAACGAGACTAGTCTGCAACCATCACTTGTGTAACATTAATTTAGTTTTCATATTTAGTTTATTTTGGGTTCGATCATCGTGTAGGTGGAATGCCATTTTGTGGAATGCCAATCAGGATCAGAATATTCAAATATAGTGGAGGAATCTGATGAGCTGTAAAACTCCTTTTCACGAAATTGTAATTTTGAAAAGTGAGAATTTGTATTTTATACGACCTTTTGCTGGAGATTACATCCAGCAGCATCATCATCAGGTGTCAACTGGAGCTCCACTCTCACGTGACGAAGAGCTGCTGGTAACACCCCGATCGAAATCCTGCATGTAAAATTATTTCAGTTGTGTAGAAATAGTTTTTAAATGGTTTGCAGTAAATACCAGGCTAAACAACAGGGTCAGCATTTTAACTTCTCTTTTAAAAACCGTTGGTCGGTTCAAGCGAGCGGCGGTCCCTTATACCGACGAGCTGGGGAATTCCTCGGCCCGCGGCGTGACACGGTGGGCACACGTGGGTGGGGGGGACCCCCCGACAGACGCTGATCGTCGCTTGGATCAAAGCGAGCCTGAACGTGCTCATCACGCGCGAGCTCTGGGACGAGCTCCTGTCGGTGCTGTCGGCGCTCACCCTCTGGGAGGAGCTGATCACCGAGTGGGCCAAGACGATGGAGACGCTCACCAAGGTGCTGGCGCGCCACGTCTACTCGCTGGAGCTGGGCGACCTGCCCCTCGACAAGCTCAGCGAGCAGAAGCAGAAGAAGCACAAGGGGCGAGGTGTGCGCGGCGCTGGGGGGAGGCGGACGACGTTGCCGATTCGACGCCGATTAACCCTTTCCCGGTCCGATGACGTACGTGTACGTACGTCATCCGTTTTTCGATCTAAACGAAAGCAGAAGAAAAACTAAACTAAAATAACGTTATCGGTACCGAGGCTCCCACAAGGCCATGCGGGAAGGGCATGTGGCACAGTTTGACGCCAGCTATTATAGAGTGCTGACGTGTCGCTGACGTGTCGCTACGGTTCTCTGCGGTGACAACGGCGGTATGCCTCACTAAATGAAAGTAACGCTGAGCCGCTTGCGCGTTCCGAGATTCAGCAGTGAACGGGAAACCACCCACCCTGCAACTTGCAGACGTCGCGGAACGGGAAAGGGTGAAATGCAATAACACGCACGTCCACCCCACCTCCCGCCCTTGAAATATTCCCTCGGTTTTTTTCTTTGCAGTAAAAAAACTGTTCCCAGCTCCCGGCTTGTAAAATCAGGTGATCGAGAATAGAGTTTAGCCATTTCTATAACCTCTATAAGATTATATAATAATAAATATGAGTAATAGTAATTATATGTTATTATGGTGAAAATCTTGATTTGAAGCTTTCGTGACTGCAGGAATCCATACTCTTTGGTTCTTTTGGTAAAGTCACGTAGGTAGAAAATAAAATAAATCAAGACGTTTCGGGCGCAACACAAGCGTCCGTCATCAGGTGAGAAAGCACGTGACTTTACCGAAAGAACCAAAGAGTATGGTGAAAATGTTGTTTGCCAAGGTCAAAGGTCTTGCTGAGATCACCACTAACACCTTAGGTTTCTGGATCCTTCCGGTCAGAAAGAGCGTGTGCTCTGTACGATGAAAGTCAGTCGACGAAATGTCCTGACTTGCAGGCTGAATGACATGCAGACAACATACCTTTGTTGCAATGGACATTTTCAGGGACTCCAGGAGTAAGAGTCACCAACTCAGTCGTTGCAGAAGTCATTGATTTATTTTTTCCCTATCACATTTAAAGCTTATGGCCATAGCACATACTCTGCGTCATTACCAAGGACACAGTTTGTCCCGCTAGAATAAGCAATATGCCAGAAAGTCACACGCACACTCCTCCCCGAATATGGGTACGATGACCCCCACTGCGCCACAGTCGCTGATGCGCGCTCCCACCGTGCCACCACCCCCTCTCCCTCCTCCACCGTGCCACCGCCCCGCCCAGGCCTGTGCCAGGAGGCGAGCCGCGGTGGACAGGACAAGTCGTTCTCCCGGGGATGGAGTCGCGATCAGGCACCGCACCCCGCCGAGCCCATGATGCGTCAGCGCAGCGCCACCACGTCCGGCTCCCCCGGCGCCGAGAAGGCTCGCGGCATCGTGCGGCAAAAAACCGTGGGTACGTCACTAGCGCCGTCCCAGGCGCCGTCACGAGGTCTGTCACTAGCGCCGTCATGAGTGCTGTCATGAGCGCCGTTACAAGCACCGTCTCTAGCGCCATCATGAATGCTGTCATGAGCACTGTTACTAGCGCTGTCACTAGCGTCGTCACGAGCTCCATCGGGCGCACGGTGTGGAAAACGCGGAGCGGAGAGACGTCCATTGAAGGGCGCCGCGGTGTTGAGATTTTAACTACCTCGCGTGGTATACAACAGGTCGTGGGTTCGATCCCGACCCTGACGCCTGCTGCTGTATATTTGGAGTTTGCATGTTCTCCAAGTGTTTGTGTGGATTCTTCTCCTGCTCCTCCGGTTTTTCGTTCCACATTTATAAACATGCGTTTATAGTATTTGACCCGCTGTAAATTTCCACTTGGTAAGCCACTTCATTGGCCTATCATTTGTGGCCAGGTTGCTTCTCAAAAAGAGCTATAAAGCTCTGGGCCTTACCTGGTAAAATGAAAATTGTTTAGTTGAGTGTTTTTGCCTCTGCTGCTGCCGCTGCGTAGGTATTTTTGGGTTTGTGCCGAATTGCCGAGCGGGTAGAAATGGGTTAGCCGCATGCACGCGAAACCGCACAATCCGAGCCCGCATAAAGCGAGGGCACGGTGCGGCATTTTAAAAACAACACCATATAAAATTCGACGAGTACGCGTAAAACTCATTACATGCGTTTTTACAAATTCCAAATTTTTTGTTGAACCCTCCTAACAATACTAATTTAGTTTTTTGTAATTTTTCAATCGTACTGTGGCCAGTCAACACATTATTTGAAAGCATGATATTAATTCAGTTGAATCTATCTGTTCTGTTAGTTTTTGAAGTTAAATTTTCGTCTTAGAATCATTTAATATGTGTCACCACACTGCATTCAATTATTTTAAATAACGCGATGTGTGAGCCAGTGTCTAGTGCTAATATCCTGCCCTCAAAAAATGTTCACCACCTCTCATCCACATAACCATTTCAATATGAATGGTTTGTGTTGGTTTTGTTTTGTTATCAAAAGGCTTTGACCCACTCATGATTATCTACAAGCCCTTTGTTAAATTTTTACACAATAACCTTCAAAGGCCGGATATCAAATCTCTGATATAATATTGCAAATGAATTCCATTAAGAAGTGATTGACGGTGGCGTTTATAGTATAAAAAAAACGCGATGCTTTCCTAGTGGCGCTTTACGGAGTACGTAACAACATGATATATTCTCCTTGCTTCATGTACGGTTTCTCATCGCTTTGCTTGCCTATGTGTTACGACTTTTTGAAGGCAGTTGATGTGATAGGAGAGCTCTATGCTTTAGGAGCCATGTAAGGAATTGACTGCTCTGATTAGATGTGGAACGATTATCCCTTTCCGCCCACCCCCAGCGGTTCGACGATTTTTCCCCAGCGATTTAACGGTCCCCGTTTTGATTCAAGAATCGTTTTCTTTGTTTAACGTTCGGATGAATACAGCAGCCGCGAGTGGCTGCTTGGGTCACATGACCCATCGTGATACAACACCAATACCACGATTAGCACGGTTGCTTTTAACGGCAATGAGTTTGGCATTAAGCTACCACGTGTCCTTACGCACAAAAACAAACAAACGTGGTGTTTTATCGACGACGAACGCCGACGTCCTACTGATTGAAAGGGATCCGTTCTTAAACGTGCGACTCGATGCATATGGGTGGCGACCTTGAGAACTTATTCTGATAATGAATTATCATTGCACATCGATCAATTATTCTCCGTAAAACCCTTACAGTTGTTTGTTCGTTGTTATTGAGAACGATTCTGCACAGAGGTGTGTACTACCGCCAGTGCTTTTCGCTGCTCCATTTGTTTCATTTAGTTACTGCACGTTCACCGGTGACACGTTCGGAATTGCATTGCGATGTTCTCTCGACGTGTCTGTGGGCACCCATTGTCATCGCGAATGTTAAACTTGAGTGAGGGTCGGCCGGCACATTTCCCGCTATTGTGAGCACCCCTTTCAACGGTGCTCACATCGGCCGCTTTTCGCCTTTTCTCTTTCGTGGAAGGTGCATACATTTGCAACGTGCCTGGCGTTATTGTGACTTGCTGCAAATCGCTTTGTCGGCCGCGTTTGAATACCTCCATTGCTGCTTTGTACGCCTAACAACAACCAACCCCTTAGAATGTTTCAGCGAATGTTTCTGCCGAACTCCCGAGAGCCGCCCTTTATCTAAAAAAATCTCCTCACCTCGGTTTTTATTTCACCATCGTTGGTTCTTGTCTCGTTTTGTGCTTTGGCGCCGCGCAAAGCACCACCCAAATTTTTCCCCTTACGCTCCGCTCCGCAAATTCCTTGCCGCCCAATCTAGCCCCAGTGGCCACTTCCTGCAGTGAGCCACGTCAAACACGATTTTTCGCAAGTGTTTTGGCTAGCCGTCGAGCAAAGACGGTCACTGCATCGCCTGAACTCCGGGTCATCCTTGCAGCGGTGGCTTTAGCCTAACCATCGAGCAAAGACGGTCACTGCATCGCCTGAACTCCGGGTCCTCCTTGCAGCGGCGGCTTTAGCCTAACCGTCGAGCAAAGACGGTCACTGCATCGCTTGCTTTCAGGTGCGCTTCTGCGGCGGCCTGGAACGCTTTTCCTTCCGATGTGAGGAAGCCACTGCTGCTCTGCACTTGAAAGTCGTGTAGAATGAAAACGAATTTCTTTAGAACTGCTTTTTATATTTATTTTTTTGTCCCCCTCCACACCTCCGATTAGATTAGCGCGGTCGGGCTACGTATGGTGCAAAAGAAGTTCAGCGTGCATACATACGTTCTCGTCGCACTGACCCCGTTTTTTTATTTCAAGTCGAACGCGATTTTTACGGCCGCTCAAACAAATATCGAGTCTGCGAGCACAATATGAGGGTTCAGGCATATTGGTTATAGCCCGCAAGGATGTTTATGGGGGGGGGGGGGGTGGAGGGTTTTTGGGTGTTCATGACGTAATTTCAAAGAGTTTCCCTTTTTTCATTAAGTGTCTGGGAGGGGAAAAAATCATTTGAGTCTGAATTGAAGTAGCAAATGAATAGACTTCCATGCAGCATTCAGCAAAAACATGTTTGCAGCCAAAGATAAAGTAAAGTTTGCGCCCGGCGTTCAAACATCAATAATGAGTTTCCGCTTCAAGAGTCTGCAGGAGCATTGTTCGGCCTGTAATAAGTTCCAACAATTAGATTAATTAATTAATGTTGTCAGTCGTGGTGGTGGTGGATTGGTGGGGGTGGAACGGTAGTGCAGCGGTAAGTGCGCTGCTGCGCTACGAATCCGGTGACCCGAGTTTGATTCCCACCCCACGGCCACCAACACCAGTGACGATTAACGCCTAGGTCGACTCAGCCTCAAATGAGTACCCGGTGCGGTGTGTAGGAAACACCGCCACTGGGGAGGCATCGGCGGCCAGAGGTGGCGCTGGCCGCACACACGCTCGTGCGCCATGCCGGCCCTCATAGGTGCCACTCGCTAACAACATTCTGTCGAGGCTACACGGGGAGGGGGTTCATTGTCTTTGTCTTTGGGTGGAAAATACAAACTGTGCCGCAGACTACCCAGACCCCCCGCAGCAGGGCCAGCCGCTGCGGGTTCGCCACCACTCGCAGAACGAGGGCGGCCAGGCCGACGGATTCCGCGGTGAGCTCGAGGATGGGGCGGCAGCGGCGTCGTCGGCGATGCCGGCGGCGGCGTCGGCGGCGCTTCCGCGCAGCAGCAGCGCGTCCGACATCATGGAGCAGTTCATCTCGGAGAGGGCCAAAGGTCGTCGTGCGATTTCTGTCGTAGCCGCGAGCCGGCGCGGCGACAGTCGGAAGGGCAGGATAGACGGACGGATAGATAGGGAGGAGCTCGTGAGGCATATGACGATGTTTTTCGATTTATCTGGCAAAAATCGAGTCTTTCTTACCTTTCTGCACACGCTGGGGCATGCGTGCAAGAATCCTCACGTTCTTGATTTATATCAGTTACGTGCGCAGTGGGTATTGCTGACATCACGTTTAGACTCGTACGAACACGTTGGTGCAAAGAAGGATGTAATAAATTATACAAATGAGGCGTAACAAATGAGACGTAATCGGCAAGATTCTTGAATGTGATCGTGGCCAGGAGTCGAGTCAGTTTGTCGAATTGTTCCAGGCCCAATGGGGGTGGCAGCGTGGTCGATGTCGGATCACTCCGGTGCACGACTCTACGTAGAGAGAGAGACTGAGATGGTGGAAAAGTTCAGCGAGAAATGTGGCATCACTGTCAAGGTTTTTCTAGACATTCGGTGAATCACAAGCACAGCTGTTTCATTGCATGCTGTTTTAGAGAGGTCATTTACATAAGCGCTCTACTTGATGTTTTCCCCCCCGAAGCATTTTCTGCATCCTGGATTGGATATTTGAAAGGCTGCGAGTCAAAATAAATTGGCGCCATCGTCTTTGGAAAAGGAAGCCATAATGTGGCATACATTACGCTACTTTGATGCCGTCTTTGTGAAATTCTGCGCAATCGTGGATGTTAACCGTGTTTTTCAAAGGCAAGCAAAGAGTTCCATTGTCCGTGTGGGCGATTGGAAAGGTTTTTTTTGAGCGCCGTATTAAGCAGTAACTTAAGTTAAACTGGGTCATGACTGGAGGCATCTCCAAGGTAGCGCTACTGAGTACTACTGCGGACCGTTACGACAGGTTACGATGAGGCTCGCTACCGAATGTCATAGCGTAGTACAGAGTTGAGAGTTAAAATAATTAGACGGCTCATCTGAATCTCCCTGAGTTCTAGGTGCTATGTAGGACAGTTCTTTATAACAGCATGAAGCAATTCTAAATTATATTTCATTACGCCGGCTGGGAATCAAATTCAAAATAAATTAAGTGCTTCAAAATCAAGTAATTTAAAAATGTAATTAGAAATTATTTCACTCGATGGTTGCATTGTATTTAAACAACATTACATGTATCTCACGGTCAGAAAATGTTTTTAACCCCCTTTCCTGACTGACGACGGCATTTCCCACCCCGCCTCTGCAGTGATGAAGGAAGATGGCATGGCCCAGCTGCGGACGTTCATCTCCGACGCGCCTTCCACCAGCGGCGACATCAGCGACATGATGGACGAATTCATTGCCGAGCGTCTCCGGAGCGCTAGCGCGGTGGTAAATGCCGCCAGCCACGTCACCGAATCTTAAGTACAAGCGTGTGCCCACGCGTACGTACGAGCAGGGCCGTCCATTGGGGTAGCGGGGGGGGGGGGTGAGTGGTGCCTTACATGGGAAAAACTGGAGGACCCGGAGAAAAATCCACGCGACCACGGAGAGAGAGAGAGCGGCACGCAAACTCCAAATATGCAGCAGGTGTCAGGGTCGAGATCGAACCCACGACCTCCTGAATACCAGGCGAGGTGGTCAACATTTCCTAGCCACCGTGGTGCCCCTCTTGCCACCATTCGCCGTACCCTAGGAACGGCGCAGCGTATGAGTCATTGCGATTTCGGAGTGCCGTTCGTTGTTTTTTGTCTTGCGTTATCCCAGTTGTGCTATCGGTGTCATCGTGTGGTGGGACGAGGAATCCATTCACACGTTTCGCAGAGCAGTGTAACTGTCCGTCCGCAGAAGCAGTTCTTAGTTCTCAGCCCAGTTGACCAATCAATAGCTGCAAAAATGACACTAGATGTTAGCTACACAACTTACGATTGGCCTAAATTCTTGCTCTGAGACTGACAAGTATCGGTTTGGCTGTCGTGGGACCGAACGTTACTCTCGTGCGGCAGGGACGGTGAGAGAGCTGGTGCCACCCCCCCCCCCCCCTACTGTGTCGACGAGGGCTCACCCGAAAGGAAACTCAGAGATAGTAAAATTTTGATTTAAAGCTCTCGTGACTGCAGTGATTCATATTCTTGGTTCTTTCGGTAAAGTCACGTTATATATATTTTATTATTTTATTGTTTCCCTTCAACGTGACTTTACCGAAAGAACCAAGAATATGAATCCCTGCAGTCACGAAAGCTTTAAATAAAAAAAATAACAAAAGCCATTTTGAAATCACAGTCAACACGTGTTTGTGTGTGTATCCGCTCTTGTAGAGCAGCGGTAGTGTAGCAGTTAGCGCGCTGCTACGAACCTGGCGATCCGAGTTCGATTCTCGCTCACGGCCAACACCAGTGACGATTCTCTGAACCAGTCCTGGGCATCTCTTAGGTTCGAGTCAGCCTAAAATGAGTACCTGGTGCCTTCACAAGCACTACTCGCTAACAGCACTTGCCCAAACGGCCTGTTAAGGCTATACGGGGGGGATCTTTGTCTTTGTACCCGCTATCGCAGAGCTCCAGTGACGTCGCCATGACGTCGTCTTCGCACGTGCAGAGGCGGCGATCCTCGAACCACGCGAGCGGCAGCCCCGGCAGCGCCGAGGGCCCTTCCGAAGGCCCCGAGCTCCACTCGCGCCGCTCCGGGGATCACGAGTCCCCCTTCGAGTGGCCCTCCCCCCCGTGCCGGCCCAGTAGCCACGCCAGCCAGGATAGCCAGCATGAGCCCTTCAGTGCCTTCCAGCCGCACGAGGGCATGAAAACCAAAGGTGCGTGCGCACGTGCTCTCGATGCCTCCGTCCGTCGCCGTGTCTTTATTGCCGCGTCGTATCTGTTAATCTTTTCTGTTACTTATTTTGACTTCACAGTGGTGTTTTGGGTTTTTTTTTTCTTTCCCCCTCTCCCGCCTCCTCGTTAGGACCACTGTCGCGATGCACCAGGTTACCGATTGGCATCTGTTCTTGAGCTCGCGATGCGTCGAATCGCACGCGGCACATTGAATATTTTTAGATTCGTGAATTTTTGTATGCAGTGGCGCAGTCTGTCGCACATTGCCCTCGATTCTCGGATACAATTGATACCTGAAACCAATTCCGAGGTGCCCCCCCAACAGTGCGCACTTCACTTACTGGCATGGTGAAGTATAGTCATAGAACCGCCATGATAGACACAGTGGTGCGGAGAAGCCTTCGTCCAGCAGTGGATTGACAAAGGGCTGTGGATTCTATTTCATTAAATGGATGTCGTTTGTAATTGGTTCACGTGACCTCTCCAGCATTTATGGATGCCTCTGCATTTGGTTCCTACCATATTGTCACCTCCGATTAGCACGGCTGGCGAAGAAGTTCAACATACGTTCAAAATAAACAATTCATTCTTGAGTTGAATCAAGGCGATATACTTTTACTCGAATTGTTACGCCCCTACGACACATGAGTGTTCTGCTCTACTTATTAGTTTGGTTCGTTTTTTGTTTGTTGAGGATGCAACTGCTGCCTGGAGTCAGTGTGGTTTGACACGTCCTCAGATTTTGTCGTGTTTGAGTGGCCGGACCCCAAACTGGATGAGCCCTGGAGCCCGTCGGAGTTGACGGAGAGTTTCCACAGGGGTAATGACGCTCCTGCTCCACTCGAATCCATGCTCGGAGAAAACTTTAGCCTGGCCTCACAATGCCTCTGTACTAACGAGCAATCGAAGCCCAACCACCGCCGTTATCGGGTCCGTTTGTTCCACTAACCGCGTTGTTTGCGCGTGCAGAGGCTACGTTTGCAAAGTGCGAGCGGTTTGCACTTGTTGTGTTCCGTTTAACAGCTTACCCCGTCTTCGGAGAGCTGGCATCTCTGTTTTTGGTGACCTTTCAGACGACACCTTTTGGCTGCGTGTGCTAACTACCACAGTCTCACCGGCACGGACCTGCCATTTCTGCGAAAATGAGAATTCTGCCACCCAGAGCATGTACGGCGGCGTCACCGTTAACAAATAACAAGCAAACATCTCTGCTTGTGTGAGAAATGATCTCGTGCGCGCACCATTGAAACCCTATCAAGGGTTTCGCAGTAACAACCGCATGACCCGACTAACGCCCCTCTTCACATCACGATATATCCACAGTGTAATCGTTATGTATGCTTCAGAGTGAGTGTGTCTGTTTGTGTATCAGAGTGTCTTTATATATAGACAGAATAGACACTATGTATACAGGCATCTCAGTCGATCAACCCATTGTAGCTGGGTCCATTCCGTGACTTCCTTCCAGTACAAGTGCCGTGAGGACATCACCGCCACTTGTGGTATAATATATTGCACCAAATTGCAACGAATATGTAAATTGCCTTTATTCACGATTTAGTGTGATATGTTCACTTTAAGGAGGATGCAAGAGAAAACATGATTTTACCGAAGCACCTATACGCTTAGACGTGTGCCCTGGGCTGCCCAGCGTGGGCTCAAAGCCTCATGAATGAGAAGAAAGTACTTTAAAGTGACTTTCAGAAGTGCGCAGTGCTGCTGTTGCGACATTCCAATTGTGACGTACGAGAATGCTTGGTACTTAAACCACATTAGTGTCGCTAAAGCGGTACGCCACCACTTATGAACCGTTTAAGTCAATTGCGTCTTGAAGAAAGTCAAACGCCTGTCGAATGCCGCAGTACACCGCGAAAGGATGTAACCACTGAATGAAATGTATTTCTTTTTTTCGGTTGCGTCTTGCGTTAAGCGCTAGTTGAAAAACCTCCGAATATTGTCACAGAGAGACTTGGCGTGCTGCAGTGTGAACCCGGCGATACCGAATTGGATTCACCTACCATGGCTAACACGCTGCCTGTGAATAAGCGGCGAGCGATATCTGAACCGGTCCTGGACCCTCCCCTTCATAATCCCATCCCGCACTGGCCCGGCGTGCCCCAAGTAACGGCCAAACAATTGCCGTGACCGCCACGGTGTGTGGGGAAGGCCTTCGTCCATCCAGCATTACAATCTCGCCGAGCGATGTCAACACATCTCGCAGCACAGAGTGAGGCGTTCCCTTTCGCTGCTGCTGCTGCTGCTGCTGCCTCCCGTTTTTGCTGCACAGGGTACAGCTTCAGCAGCGAAGCGTCGACGAGCACGGGCTACAGCCTGAGCGAGGTGGAGGCGGCGCATGCGGCGGCGGCGCACGCGGCAGGCGAGGAGGAGCACGAGGTGGTGTGAGCCTCCACGATGCACATCGACTCGGAGACGAGCAGCCTGAGCCAGCAGCCCGTGTCGCCGAGACCGTCACATGACCGGTATGGTCGCACGCGCCATGCCGCGCCTCTACACCCACCTCCCCCCCCCCCCCCCCCCCCCCCCCCCACCCCCCCCCCCCCCCCCCCCCCCCCCCCCCCCCCCCCCCCCCCCCCCCCCCCCCCTCCCCCCCGTGGCTTTCAGAATCTGAATATTTGTTTATGCTTCTTCTTTCGTACGGCTGATGTAGATGCAGTTCAACGGCGACAATTTCACATTCGATTGGTCGTCTTGTTTTCGTGTGGTGGGGAGTCTTCGGCAACGTTTCTACGTACACATCGCGTTTTGCGAGAGTGAGTCGGCCAATGGGCGGCTTCAGGAGTGGCCTGGCGAATATCTGAAACGCTGCCTGTGAACGATGGCAAGCAGGCAGTGGCGTTACTAGTGCCATCCATGGTTCGAGGTCGGCTTGGCTAATCTTCATTGCCCATTGGTGTAGGAGGTAGCCGCAATCTGCCGTGCGATGTGTGCCACTCGCACATGCACACACCCTCGCACCGGGTGGGGAAACCCACGATGCATTGATGGCATAGTGGTTAGCGGCACTACCCTACGAACCCGCTGACCCGCGTTTGTTTCCAGGCCACGACTCACATCAGTGGCAAATTATATTCGAGCCAGACCTGGGCCCCTGCCATAGGTCGACTCAGCCACGTGGCATCTTGGGAAATCCCATGATGCATTGCAACCGCGTGTTGTGGTGCGTCTGTGTGTGGTTATTTTATTATTTTTTCTTTCACGTCATGCCTTATGGAACCCGGTGTTTGTGTTGAACCTTGGGCACCCCGCAGGTTCGGAGGAAGGCGGCTCTCCCATCCACTCCGGCTCTAGCACGCGCGCGCACACTCCATCTCCGTGCGTGTCGGCCCCCGAGCACCGCGAGGCCCGGGAGCTTCCCCTGCACGCCGACGACGACAACAAGCTGCACTACACAGGGCTACAGACGCCTGACGATCTAGGTAACGGGAGTTCGATTCCTGGCCAAGTGAACGTAAGGGGGGTGGGTGGGGGGCGCACCTGTTCGAGATGCGTTCGATTGTTTGACGTTCGCCACAGGTGCGGTGGTCGGATCGTCCCTGAAACGTCGCCACTCGCGCACCAAATATCCGCATCACCCGTGGGAAGTCCTGACACGCGGTTTATTCGCTTCCCGTTTATTAATTGCTCCCACCACCACTACTACTTCACGGCGTGCTTGCGTGCGTGCGTGCGTGCAACCCTCCCCGTAGAGGGCAGCGAGTTCCTGGCGGAGGACAGCAGCGTGATGTCGGGCGGCACGCTCATGGGCTGGCACCCCGATGTGGCCACGGTGCTGTGGCGCCGCGTCCTGGGCATCCTGGGCGACGTCAACAGCATCAAGGACCCCGACATCCACGCGCAAGTTCTCGACTACCTCTGCGAGCTCTGGCAGAACCTGGCCAAGGTCGGTGTGTCCCTGGCGAGATGTTAACGACCTCGCCTGGTGTGCAGGAGGTCGTGGGTTCAATCCCGACCCTGATGCTTGTTGTAAATTTGGAGTGTGCGCGTGTGTCTCCCTCTCCCCGTAGTCACATGGATTTTTCTCTCGGTACTCCGGTTTTCTCCCTAAATATTTGGAATCAACGTGCATTTGGTGTATTTGGCAGCTATACATTTCCACACGATAACCACTTAATTGGACTATCATACGTGATTGCCAGGTCGCTTCTGAAAAATAACTACGTAGCTCAGTGGGCCTTACCTGGTAAAACATAACAAAGCATTTCTCAAATAGTTTAATAGTGTCTGTGGCGTAAGCCCAGGCTGGCAGACGTTGTTCCCGCAATGGTTGGGTGCCAAGTTTCCAGTGAGTTGCGGTTGATTTTGTTGCGTAACCAGGCGAGGACGCAAGAGAGAGACCCAGGGTGGAGTCTCGTTAGCGAGAGCGACCTGCGTCGCCAAAATGATGAAAGCGAAATAAACAGGAAAAGGGCATCAAGCAAGCGTTAAATTTAGCCAGATGTGATTGATTGTATTTATTTGTGTTTTAACGGTAATGCGTTTATTCATAGTTCACGGCGGCTTGCTGTTCTACGAAGCTATGGGGTCCCGTTAAAATGGTGACTACTCTGTGTAAAGCTAATGCCGTTTGTAACAAGTCAGAGTCTTGTACACGATGCACGGTTGAAAGGTTATTACGCTAATTGACGGAACCGATGGAAGATGTATCCATCTGTCTTGTTAGTAATTGACAATTTTTTCCCGCTTAATTGTTGTGGAACAGTATTTTTGCCCGTGCGGCGTAGTGATTTCACACGTGGATCATGTGGCCGCCTGAGTTAATTTGTTTCTTAACAATGAAGGCCACTTAAAAGTCACTGCCATAATTGCTGCTATTTGCCGACATTGCAATTAAAAGCTGGAGCCTGGCATTCTCTTCATTACATTTCTCAGAATTATTTATTTCCAAGTTAATTGCAGTGATGTCTTTAATAAGTAGTCTCATGTCTTATGTTTTCCTGTTGTTCTTATCGTATCTTATATAGATTTTTAGAGCGCTTTAATCCAAGGCGCTTTACAACAATTATACAATTGTACATAAGATGATAGTGGTTAAATAAAGAGTGGGGTTATTAAAAGTGGTGGTGTAGTGATGGTGACAGGAAGACAAGTGCAAAGGTTAAGTAGGGGTTGCGGTAGGCCTGGTTATAGCTGGGGGGTAGTGGCATGGAGTAGCAGTAGGGGTAGTGATAGTGATAGGGGTAGTGATAAGAGTAGTGATAGGAGGGTAGTGATAGCGGTAGTGTTAGGGTTAGTGATAGGGGGTAGTTATAGGGGTAGTGACAGGGGTAGTGATAGGGATAGTGATAGGGGTAGTGATAGTGGTAGTGATAGGGGGGCAGTATTAGGGATTGGGTTAGGCCTGGTCATAACTGGGGGATGGGGAGTAGCAGTAGCAGGATGATTGGCGAAGGAGAAGAGGTGGATTGTAAGGGAGGAACAGAAGCCCCATATTCCAGTGAAGATGATGTCTCTCTGTGGTGCGGTGGGAGTTGGTTCCAGTGAAGGGGAGCAAGAAGGGAAAAGTAACGAGAGTGTGACTGGGCGCAGGGCGAGGGAGACACAGAGAGTGACAGTGGAGGCTGGGAGCGTACAGGACGGGATGGAATAGAGTGGTAATATATGAGAGAAGCAAGATAGGGTGGGGCAAGACCATGGAGGGATTTACAGATCAGAGTCAGAAAAGGTAAACAGACGGCGAAAGTCCACAGAGCCAGTGGAGTTGAGAAAGTAGAGCGGAAGTGTGGGAATTGTGGGGGAGGTTAAAAATTATCTGGGCTGAGGCGTGTTTTGCACCTGTTGTCGGAGAGGAGCGAAGGTGCCCGTGTCCTCGTGCTTGTGTCATTTTGCAGATGAGAGACAACCTGGGCATCAGCCTTGACAACCAGCGGTCACCGCCGCCGCCCGAGCTCATCCCCCCTCTCCGCATGTTCACGCCGTGGCTATTCAGGGCAAGTCGACGGATGTGCGCGGCCGTCCTAACCAGTGCCGGATTATCGTTGTAGCAAAAGTAGCTACATATGTAGTAGCTACGGGCCCCGCACTTTCAAGGTCCCCGCGCTAAATGCTTTCAAGCTATCAGTTCCGGTTCAATGATTCTGCACTTGCTGTGTTACTATACCTTTTATGAACGACTGGGTGTTTAAGGTGAGCAATTTGTCGTATTATCTGGCTGTATAGCAAATGAAAAAGTACAATTACTTTACGATGCAATCCGGTACTGGTCCTAACGTGCAGTGGGCTTTCACCAACAACATTACGATTTCGCGATCGATATTTTTTTTTGTGCATCATATTGCCGCACAAGTAAAACGTTGTGTCTGGAGTAAATCCTCCACCAGCCGACAAGGCCGTTAATAAAGTTGTCACGTGATGGCGACCACACCATTCTGGAAATGTGACCCGAGTCTCCTAATAATGTACGTTGGACTTCTTTCGTACCGTACGTAGCCGACTGTGCTAATCGGAGGTGCGGTGTAAGGAGAACAAACCAAACACAAATAAACGTTCTGAAGAAATGAGTTTTCAGTCTACATTTTAAAGTACATGTCTCCAGTGGCTTCCTAATATCGAAAGGAAGAACGTTCCAGGCGGCCGCAGAAGCGCACCTGAAAGTGCACCTGAAAGCGTGCGGTGCGGTGAGCGTCTTTGTTCGACGGCTAGCCATAAGCCTTCTGCGAGGATGACCGATCATCGGTGGGAACGCAGAAACAATGACCACCGTTTGGAAAATAACCGCCGTTACTACCAAATACGTTTTGACGGGTACGCGATCTGTGCTGTTTGATGCGCAGCCTGAACGAGACGGACGTGAACTAACCGTTTGCTCCCCCCCTCCCCTGCCGTGCGTTGGCATCATGGCAGGCGACGGCCCTGCCCGAGCGCTACAAGCAGGGCAAGCTGCACGCGTACAAGTTGGTCTGCAAGGTCATGACCCGGCAGCAGGACATGCTGCCCAACAGCGACTTCCTCGTGCACTTCTACTCCATCATGCACCAGGGCCTGCTCAGCCCTGATCTGGTGCTTGATCTCACTCACCACCACCTCCTCTGTCAAGATGCTTCTCGGACTCCAGGGACTGTCTCCTGCCCAACTCTCTACTCTCCTCTCACTCTACTCACCCCCTCAACGACTTCCTCTATCTCTCCCCTCTCATCATTACTCTACTCCCCTCCACGTACTCTCCTACTGCTCCCTTCTCATCTCAATCTGCTCCCCTCCACACACTCTCCTACCTCTCCTATCCCATCTGGCCCTACACCCCTCCACGTTTTTCATGCTCCAGCAACCGGGTCTTTTCTCTGTGGGAAGTTGCTCATTCTCCTCTGTGCCCCCATTGACTGGAACTCCTTTCCCCCAACCCCTCCATCCGTACTGGTGACTCTCAGCCCCCCCACCCCCCATATAAAGTCCAGTCTGAATCCATTTCTTTTTACCTCGTCCCATGATTTGAGCAGTAGAGCGGCACAATATTGGCACTTGTGCCTCGCAGCAGGAAGCACCTGAGTTCCATCCCGTGCAGCTTTTATGTTCTGCCCCTTGTTCTGCATTGGGGAAAAAGAAAAAAAACATTATAATTGGCGACGTTTTGGGTCATGGCCCTACTTCACACACACAAAGAAGCGTCTTCTCCGATCAAATGTTTCACTCCGCGTCCCGAGCATTGCCAGCGTCACTTTCCGTGCGCCGTACACATATCTGCCAACCCCTTTTCAGTGCCCTACCTTATTACAGACCAATTCAGACCTTATTGATCAACCCCGTACCCTTATGAGTCTCAACGTTCATCCTTCAAAGTCCCATCACAAGGGAGAAACACCAACAAATCTACAAAAATTATGTTACGTATTATGTATTAATTTTGATAATTGGTGTCAATGATACTACCTTATCGTGCTTACGCTCTGTGATCTTGTATGCTGCTGCTTTTCATTTGTCCGTACGATTATTATTTTTGCCCGTATTGAAACGTCTGTCCGCCGTATGGACCTGAAAACTCAATTTCCACGTGCAGGAATACGGGGTTAAACCGTGTGGGTTGATGGCTACGCGTACATCGCCCGTGCCTTCATCTCATATTGAATGGGTGCGGGCGCAAGCCGACGGCCGACCGAATGGGTCCGTGCTGAGTGTGGATGGGCAGCACTTGCGAGCACAGCCTGTCGATCGACTCCCAAGGAAGTGTGGCGGCACAATCGATAAAAAAACAAAACCCTGCTGTGGGCCAAGATAATTGTTCCTGTGCACGCGCGCACGTTAGTGTGTGTGTGTGTCGCGGTGGGGAGCGGTTGGTAGGATAGCAGTTAACGCGCTGCGCTACGAACCCGGCGACCCGAGTTTTGATTCCCGCTCACGGCCGACACCGGTTACGATTATCTGAACTGGTCCTGGGCCTCCTCTAGGTCGACTCAGCCTCCAATTAGTACCCGGTGCGGCGGTGTGTAAACATCGCCACTGAGGAGACAAAGCCAGCCAGGCGTGCTGCTGGCCACCCACCCCCTCGTGTGCCGCACCGGCCTTCATTGTAGGTGCTACTCACTAACAGCACTTGCCCCAACAGTCTGTTCATGCTATACGGGGGGTGTGATCTTTCTCTCGTTTGTGGTGTGCCATTCTGCAGGACACAGTGTCCACCATCATCCGGTTCTGCTCGCCGCGGATCTTCTCCCTGGGCCTGCCGGGCTGCACCCTGCTGCTCTGGGACTTCATCGTCGCCGCCAGCAAAGTCGCCACATGCGGCGTCGTGCATGTAGGGGCCCGCCAACAACAACAACCGCCATTCGCCACTGAGTGGCGGTGACGTCACCACGGCGCGTGTGCCTGGCCCGCCAACACACACACTCACACACCCACGCACCCACAAGACAAAGATCCCCGTATAGCCTGAACAGACGGTTGGGGCTGTTAGCGAACACCTATGAAGACCGCCTTTGTCTCCCCTGTGGCGATGTTTACACATCGCACCAGGTACTCATTTGAGGCTGCAGCGACGGAGGGGAGGCCCAAGATAGGTTCAGATAATCGTCACTGGTATTGGCCGTGAGTGGGGATCGAACTCGGGCCGCAGGGTTCTTAGCGTGACGTGCTAACCGCTACACTACCACTCTCCACGCACGCACCCATGCACCCACACACGCAGCTGCACGAGCATCGATTTGCCGGCGCCCGTTTTAAAAGCGGTTAATTGCGGGGGAGCGGGGGGGGGGGGGGGGGGGGGGGGGAGCGTGAGCGTGATCGCTCGTCACCTCCTCCCATTACTTCACGCTGGGGTTTTTTTTGTTTTTCTAATGACCCTTTAGTCGGAAATTGCGGCAGTCTCCTGTTTGACCCCGCGTGCTGCTGTGGTGCTCTCCAGGCTCCCCGGACAGAGGCGCAGATGCTGCTCGGCTCCATGCTGTGCTTCCCGAACCTCTACAAGGAGGTGTTGGTGTTGCAGCCCGTTGCCACTGACACAGCCCTCATCCCATGCAAGGACCTGAAGGTAAATGGGAGTCGCGCACCGCCCAGCTGGTTATTTGACGTGAATTACGGGGATGACGAGCTGTGGACGGAGTGGCTCGGCGGTCAGAATCAGAATTGGAATATTTGTTTACGCTGGAAGAATCTGATGAGCTATGAAGCTGTTTTTTCACGAATGTCCAGTAGGGGTGGGTCACAATGTTACAGCAATAAATAATGCAAAAACACAAAATGAGTGCAAATTATAGGCAAGGTAAACAAATATACATATAAAACGAAACCATTTTTTTATCCGACTAGGTAAGGCCCATTGAGCCATTAGTTTCCTCTTTGCAGAAGATAGCTCAACGAAGTGGCCTACCATGTGGAAATCCACAGCGGCAAAATTATCTAAATAATCTAGACGCACTTCTCTAAATGTGGAGGGGGAAGCGGAGAGCGACTTGAGCCGGCATCGCTGGGAATCCTGGGTTCAGAGTCTGGACGGAGCCACGAGTGATTCCCACTGGGTTCTCGAGTTTAGCGTGAGCTCATGGTCTCAGCCCGGCGGTCAGCAAATGGCTGCACTAAAACAAAAAATCATTGTATTGAATTTGGTTTGTCCAAAGGTGAGAATGAGAAAATCCATTTAATTGACGTTCAGAGAATCAAATAATCAGGTCGCTTGTGTGCCCAAAGAAGCCTGTTGAAGTGCCTGGAGAAGTAGTTATGTAACGTTCTCTTCCAGAACCATTCGCAGCTAGTGTGACGCTCTGCTTGTTGTGAGAGCTCCCAATGAAAATGTCTTTTTTTTGCGAAATGGCATGAATGTAAAACTAAAATATGTATCCATTAACATATTCCATATTTTGTCCAAATGGGCGCTTGAATTTTCGAAAGCCGGCTTTGATGTTGTGATTGCAAGCGGCAGTAAATTCGTTTCATGTCCCTCCAGGAGCACATCATTAAATCCCTACTGAAGTCTGCGAAGGAGGAGCCTTCCGTGTCTGCACGGTAAGAGCCGCAACAAGTCACCGAGGCTGCTGCAGTGATCGTTTTACACAACATCCCAAACACAAGAGTTGCGTTTGGATTGAGTAAGTTGGAACAAATTGTATTTGCCCTTTTTGCGAGCTATTCAGCAGCTGCAGCATGTGAGTAATTTTCGTCCTGTGAAAGGGCTCATTCTGATTGAAAGGAACAAGAAAGCTATGGTGTTGATGATGAGCCATGAATGACATCTGACCTATAAACTAGGATAAAAAAAATGTAAACATAACCTACATTTTATGTTTTTCTAAGCTCTTTCCACTAATTTAATTTCTCGTGTTAACAATGTAGAATGCTTTGACAAGTAGGCTTTCGCGACAAATCTGGCTGTCCGCCTGATGAAGCTCGTTGTAAATTACTGGTGAAATGTCGTACTCAGATTGGAAATGTTGTGGATTTGCTCTCAAACACACTGGTGTGCTCTACACGAATTGGCCCGTTCTGTTTACGTGACAAACCTTACTAATTGGCTGTGTCCGGTGGTGGCGGGTTTAACGCCACATTCATACTTACGCTATCTAACCCAAAAAAACCTGTATAATGGAGAAGAGTTGAACGAATTGAATAAATATTCACAAAATGTATGCTTGACAAATAGTTTTCAGGGAGGTGGGGAGACGATGTTAACAGTGAAACTTTATGAGCTGTTATATAAATTACTCGCAGCCCACCTGTATATTTAACATGAGCATCCCTTCCTCCAGCCAGTCAGCCAGCAAACATTTTTCCTTATATTGCAGACTGCACGTCCTTTGGACATGTCCATCCGTCACCTCTCTTCAGCCAGCTAGCGAGCAATGTTTTTTTTCCTAATCTAGTATGATATGATGTGACAGTCAGAGTAATTTTTCCCCATGCAGTTACATGTTCAGATACATTTTTTTAAACATGTTCTTTCCAGGTGTATAGCGCTGTGCAACGTGGGTATTTGGATGTGCGAGGAACTGGCCCATGCGACGAAGCACTCCCTTATCAAAGAAGCGTTAAATGTTATCGGTGCAACGTTGAAGGTAACGTCTGCGTTCTCACCACGGTTATTGCTCGTACACGGGAGGGGCGGTGGCGATCCGTTGGATCCGCCGGGCTGCGCGACAAATCCTGGCGAGCCGAGTTCGATGCCCGAGCACGGCTAACGCCATCGGAGGATTTTTTTTTTTTAGGTTTTAATTTTGGCACAGGTAAAACCCGCACCTCAAGATGAGCACGGTTGGCTACGTACGTTGCTAAAAAGAAGTTCGACATACATACACATACAAACCCACTGGGCAATATATGGTCATTTTTGATGGAGACCCGGTAATGCCACAGAAACATGGTTACAGCAACAAAACACAAACATGGACAAAAGAAACCAAAAGCAGAGAGCGCTATCCGAACCGGCCTTTCGACCCCCACTCACCTCTTCACCAACCTGAGCAATCGACCGGCGCCGTCAAGTATAGTCAAACAATTTCCGTGACCGACGCGGCACTGGGAGACCTCGCTCCCCAGCAGTGGATCGACAAAGGGCTGTCGAGTGGAGTGCTGCAACTCCAGTGTTCCCAGCCGTGCAAGGGAAGGCGTGTGGTCCTATTATTACATCCGATCGCTTCGACATCCTCGTTAGTAGATTGCGCACACCGCTGCCACGCCGCGTGATTGACGCGTGCACCCTTCAGCGTCTCTCCTTTGTTGTAACCGTGCCTTGAGAGAATGTGGCTGATGCTGTCGCCGCTACTGCTGCCGCGCCGGCCCGACTCGTGTTGCCTTTGTGCTCTCCCGTGTCTCCCCGTTAGTTCCCCCACAAGCACGTGGCCCAGGTGGCATGCGACCTCCTGCACCTGCTGGTGTCGTACGTCGACAAGCTGATGGAATATCACGTGGACATGCCAAAGAAAATCATCGGGGTACAACGTCACGCCTGTTTTCACTCTGCCGGTGTACACTTTCTTAGGTTTTTAGAAACGTGACGGCACTGCCCGACTTGTCACGCGGGAGCTCACGTCACGTGATTATTCGTCTTTTCCATTCCCCTTCGCAGATTTTGGTGGCGACGATGGTTTACCTGTTACCTGCAGCGGAGCACTCGCAACAAGAGCAAGAAAAGAGGGTGGGCGATCGTTTTTTAAATGAACAAGGCGACGCATTTTTTCGTTTCCGCAGAAAATTGTCCCGAAGGCTAGTAGACATGAAGTGTGCTCGGAGTTTTTGCGTTCGATTGTTTTGACGAGGTATTTTCATGGAACCTGACTTGAATTGCTTTAATTGGCCCCATTTATTACATTTAATTAGATTAACATTTTAAATGTCATTCATCCACGTGCGCAGCTCCATTTACAGGGCTTCCATTGTTGCTGCTTGTGTAATTGTTTATTGCATTTTGGTTTCAAGTGGTGGGGATATTTAACCATTTGGGCACGTGATGAGCCGCATCCACCCACCCCGCTGCCATCGATGTGTTGAACGTTCATAGTCACGGTCACAATTCCTTTTCTGTCTGCGTCGTACAGCTTCATTTGTGTTAAATGTCTTGTACGTTCCTCCTTTGCTCTGTCTTCTTCTGTTCGTCGAATGGTATTATAGCGTATAATACGCATCAGTTACAAACAGCACGGCTGACATGCCCTGTATCTGGAGTGGAAATCTTAATCGATAAATTAACACGTCTGGCACAGTCATGGTTTGAGTTGCGTCACTGCGTATGTTTTTCCAGTTGTCCTGTATACCTCCAATGCCGCGAGAGGGCACCGCAGTGGCAAGATGTTAGTCACCTCAATTGGTATGCAGGAGGTCATGGGTTCGATCCTGACCCTGACGCCTGTTGTATATCTGGAGTCTGCATGTCTCTGTCCCTGTGGTCGCGTGGATTTTTCTCTGGGTCCTCCGCTTTTTCTCTCCACATTTCTAATCGACGTGCGTTCAGAATATTTGGCTGCTATAAATTTCCACGTGATAAGCCACATGGTTGAGCTATAATTTGTGGCCAGGTCGCTTCTGAAAAATATCTATATAAGCTCGGTGAGTTTAACATGATAAAGTAGAGATTGTTTAGTCTTTTTTACGTCTGACGTTTCACTCCACATAGTGGTAGCTTCCACAGGGCCATCTGCAAAAGCCCCCCGACACGTGCAAAAAACATTGAACAATGCCCGGTACAACCGGAAAAGCACATCGAGGCAGCTATCCATCATCCATGCAGTTTGCAACTAAACCAAAGTCTCCAAAATCTACGTGTGTTAAAGGCAGACCATTTCATTTTAATCGAGAACAACATTAAACGTGGAAAGTGGAGAGTGGCGGGGCATGAGAAATAGCAATTAGGTTCACCCTGCTCTGGATTGTGACAAATCTTAAACATCCAGCCAGTGTAAACAGCGTGGCATCGCGTTAACGTCACCACCTGGGTGTCGAGGAACATCTTGGTCCGTGCGGCTCATCCTGCAGTCGTCCAGTTCACCTTCGTCTAGCCAGCGGTGACGGACGGCGGCACCTGTGGCGCGCGGTGGGTTTTTGTGGCTCCCCCCCCCCCCCCAGCTCATGGTGTCGCTGCTGCTGTGCCTGCTCGACTGGTGCATGGTGCTGCCCGTGGAAACGCTGCTGCAGTCGCTGATCCCCGCCGGCGCTTCCAAGCCCCACTCCGTGTCGCTGCTCAGCAGCATTTACAAGGTGAGCGATCCTCCGTGCCGGCACGGCTATGCCGTCGATACCTCTGGACAGCTGTGAGAAACAGCGTTGTAGCTCTTCATCAGATTCCTTCGGTATAGAGATTCTGATTCTGATACGAATGGCTCCCCAGGTTTACTGCTCGGGAAGTCCCCCCTCCCCATGAGCATTCCACCCCTGGTTCTGTCTGCTTTCAGGTCTCCAAATCTTCCTCTTAAACCCTGCAGGTGGGGGGGGGGGAGGAGGGCCTTAATCACTTCCTCTGTCTCCTTGTCGCTCTTGCTCGGTACCTCCCAAGCTTCCGAACGCTTTGCGTTGGCTAATGAGTTAACTATATTTCAGTCTCTCGTGAAAACTCACTTCTTTAAATTGGCCTTTACCCCCACCCAGTTCTGCCCGTTTACCCTGCAGGTTCTGTTTATTCGCTGCTTTCCATACACGGTGGCGCATTTGGATCTACGGATGAAATGTGCCTTGCAAATGTTAATTATTATTACGTCAGGAAGGAGTTACTATCACCAATGGTATCGCGGCGACTGTTCCTCACTTTTGTTCACCTTTCTCGCGTTGCCGGCGGTCCCTTTTGCGCCCGCAGGTCCTCTACAGCTGTGTGTACGGCTACCATTTCTTCAACAACCCCAGGTACTGCCCCCTGACCCTGAAGGACCTCATCAGTGTCGACTACAATCCCACACTGCCCCTGGACGAAATCAAAGACCCCGAGCTGCTCTATCCACAGTCGGACAGGTCCAGCAAGCTCCTGACGGTGTCCGATGGTACGATTATCCTTTTATTTATCATTATTGCTGTTAATTTTACGACACTTGTTTCCCTTGGACTTTTTTTTCAGGAGGGGTCCCACCTTCACAGCACATAAGGGGCAGAGGCCAGAGAAGGTAGAGCCATTGTGCCTCCGTGTACGCTGCGAAGAAGGGCCTGAAATGTTCGCGTAATTCCACAGTGTACGTTGAATAACGATGTTGGCTACGTACGGTGTGAAAGAAGTGCAACATGCATACCACACTCGTGCGCAGCGCTGCCTTTTGGCTTCCTTGGTGGCGATCTCTGCCTTTAAGGTGCCACCCCCATTGTACGCACGTATGTCGAAGTACGTTGGACGTCTTCCGCATCGTACGTAACTCAACTGTGCTAATCAGGGGTGACGTTTAACGATTCAGATTTGTCGGTGTTTCTTTAGTGTTAATTCACAAGGCTCTTGTGTCTCACGATGCAACAAACGATGTGCTTGAGAATTCTGCTGACTCCCTGTATTGTCTGCTAGGCACGCACAAAAGCGTGGTTAGCCGAACGAGTTCATAGGCCCGGCCTAGATAGTTTATATGTCCGTACTACTAGAGATGGGCCAAAACATTATGATGGTGATTTCATATAATGGTCTGAAACTATGATATTTGGACATGATAGCCATTCGGAGGGTAGCAGTGGCTTAGCGGGTAGTTGGTGGTTAGCACACTGCACGGCCACTTGAGTTTGATATGACGGCCACGGCTACCATCAGTGGCAAGTGGGATCTGAACCGGTCCTCGGCCACGGTGATGGGTAGGGTCTTCCTCCCACAATGGATTGACAAAGTGCAGTGAATTATTATCATAATAATTTATTATTAAACATAGACCTGATAATTTCGTTCCAAATCACTCTTATCGACCATGTGAAGGAATAAGTAAAAAAAAAAATGTTTTTGCGCCTTCACTGATGACACCAACTGTTTCCGGCTATGGACCACGCCAACTTGAGCCTGGTGTGGATGGGGCGGGGGCTGGTTATTGTTGCTGGCCGTGCGTTGTTCCCAGGAGCGGCTCGTATCCAGCGCGAGCTGATCCCCCTGGCGGCGCGGACTGTCATGGTCCACCTCGTCAACCACCTGGGCCACTACCCGCTGAGCTGCGGGCCGGCGCTGCTCGCCAGCCTGGTGCGCGAGCACCACGAGAACCCTCACGCCAGCGCCGCCGAGCTGTCCGCCGACCTCTTCGAGAACCCGAACCTGCAGTTCTTTGTGTTCAACAAGAGCACGCTGCTCTCCTGCCTGCAGATCCCCGCCGAGAGGGACGTCCCCGGCGGCGGGGTTGCCGCCGGCCTGGCCTCGTCTGCCGCGTCGAACGTCCGCGTCGTGGTGCGCGACGTCTCGGGGAAGTACTCGTGGGACGCGGCGATCTTGTACGGCCCCGCGCACTGCTGTCCGCAGCAGGAGCAGGAGCGGCAGTGGCAGCAGAAGCAGCAGCAGCAGGGACGTAGGCCGACCGCGTCGGTGGGCAGCGCTTCGCTGGATCATGCGGACGTCGACTCGGCCGGCTCGGAGGAAGCTGCCGAGCCAGCGAAGGGGGCGGCTGCTGCTGCTGCTGCTGCTGCGGCGGCGGCGGCGTCGTCCGTCATGCAGGAGGGAGACTGTGCCGAGTCGCTGCCGGCGCCGTCTTGGGAGACGCTGGGGCGCGACCAGGACGCTCTGGACGAGACGCTGCGCTTCCTGGGCTCCACCAGCCCCGAGTGCCTGCAGCGGCCCGGTGCACCGCTCAACGTGCCCGCCGCGCCGCCGCAGTGCTCGTCGGAGAAGCTGGAGGGCGAGGTGCGCCGGGCGGTGCGTGCCCAGTGGCTGGAGGAGGGGAGGCACGCGCGCGCACACTCGGGCGACGCGTGCATGCGCGCCGAGCCCGAGTGTGAGCCCGACGCTCGCGAGCCGCAGTCGGCGTTCCACTACTGCCGGCTCTTCCTCAGCAGCCTGGGCATGCACTCGTGGGACCGCAGGTAACGGGTACGGAGAGCCGGCTCACGCACGTGATACTGTGTACTCGTTGGTCGGTTGGTCGGTCGGTCGGTCGATCGATCGGTTGGTTTGAAACTGCTTCTTGACGTTGTTTATGAAGGGCCACCGTCTCGTATTCGCCTGGTCAGATAGCCCCTATCACCTGCGTAGATGTGGGGAGGCCCTCATCCAGCAGTGGATTGACAAAAGGCATGTACAAGAGTCATTTGAGACAAATCGGTGTCTTTTGCAAGGGATACCAAGGTCAAAATGAAATTAATAATAATACTCTACCCGAGATCCGTTTACGGGACAGGGTGTGTGCTGTTATTATGCTATTTTCCTTTTAATTTTCACTCTGGAACCTTTATTCTGTCATGATGTTTGCTGTTAAGAAGTTGAACACTGTGCTTTAACGAACCCAGTCTAATCACGGGTGCATGATATCCATATTCAAACTTATCTCGGCAGTCGGTGCCGGCTGAAGGTAATAACCCCTGAGCCAACCTTCCGCATCCTCAATCGACCCGAATTTACTGTTTTATAAATGTCCCCTGCAAGTGCCGCCTCTCGCAACAGCGAGCAGCGACGTGGCAGCGCCACTAGTGTCCCACAAACGTGACAGCGCGCGGACGCTTGAATTTTAAGCGTCGCGCAGATTGCAACGCTTGCTCGCCCGCCCGCCCGTCCGCGTGCGTGCCTGCGTGCGTGTGCCCGTTTCGTTACGTTGCATTGTGTCGATAGCCCCAAAATCAAACAATGCTTTGTTGCTGTGTCAGGCCGAGCTTCGATTTGCTGAAAAAGAACGAGAAGCTATTGCGGGAGCTGAAAAACCTCGACTCGCGACAATGGTGAGTCCTTCAAGGGGGGAGGGAGCAATTCTCCTTGCCGCCTCATCGTTTGATGAGGCACCGCTTCACCGCGATGTCTCCATTCCCGTAACAATGCAGCGTCTCTCGTGTCCTCTAAAGCCGATAGGATTGACCAACGCCCAGTGATCAATGCGTTTGTCTCGGGACGATGATTGCTTTTTGTATTTATTTTATTTTATTTTTTATTACTCACGAAGCCATTGCAGTGATTGGGTCCTTTGTGCGCGCGCAGCCGAGAGACGCACAAGATCGCCGTGCTGTATGTGGCCGAGGGTCAAGAGGACAAGCTCTCCATCCTCTCCAACCAGGGGGGCAGCCGGGCCTACGAGGACTTTATAGCCGGCCTCGGCTGGGAGGTGAGGCTCCGGCCAGTTTTTTGCCACGGGGGTGGGGGGAGGGGGATGCGGTTGATGGTTTTTTTACCGCACCGTCGCCACCGTCGCCTCCCAATGGCATGCGCGTGTACAGCGACCGCAGTGTGCGACCGCACGCATCCACGGGCAAGCACGTTTGAAACAATAATTAAAGTATAAACTGTTTAAAAGTGGATTTTTTGGGGTTAACTGTGATTTGGAATCCGCTGGACAATGAGTTATTTCCCCTGCCCCCCCCCTCTCCCCTTCTTTGTTCTCAATTAACCTTTTTTTATGTCATCTAGAACAGCGTGGCACGCGCGGTGAACACTCACCATCGCGCGATCCCTTTTTGGCAACGTGCCATATTTCCCATAACCTGAATGTCAGGTTGACCTATTGTCAGCACGTGAATCTGCCGACCGCTTTGCACGTTCGAAGCACTGGTCTCAAAGCCGCGAGTTCTCGTCCGCGTGAACCCACACTCGCGTAACGACGATGTGAGCCGTTCGTCGCAGGTGGACCTCACCACGCACTGCGGCTTCATGGGCGGCCTGCAGCACAACAGGAGCAACGGCTTCTCCGCCCCGTACTACGCCACCTCCACCATGGAGGTGATCTTCCACGTGTCCACCCGCATGCCGTCCGAGTCCGATGACTCTGTGACCAAGAAGGTAATCGCTGAGGCCGCTGGGCCCGTCGTGACAGTAGCTCGGTGCGAACGAAGAAAACGCTGATGGACGCTCGCGTTTTGATCATTGTCGTTGACGTTGTCGCGGTTAATTTCTTTTGAAAGCGCGCGCGCGTGCGTGTAGCCTGCACACGCGGTAACTTCACCTGGTGTTCCGTTGCACAGCTGCGCCACATCGGGAACGACGAGGTGCACATCGTCTGGTCGGAGCACAGCCGAGATTACCGAAGGGGCATCATCCCGACGGAGTTTGGCGACGTCCTCATTGTCATCACGCCGACCAAGAACCAGCTGTTCAGCATCCAGATCATCAAGAAGCCGGAGGTGCGACGCCTGCTCGCGACGGGGTGGGGGGGTGGGGGCGCCTGCCATAACTCTGCAACACGGAACGATACAAGTGTGAAAGAAGGCACTTATCGTCGCATTAAGATATTTTTCCCAGTGTTGTTCTTCCGAAGGCCGCTATTGATTTCCGTTGTCGCTTGGCACATAAAAGCACCGGGTGGGCCCATATATACACCCCTATTACAAACCGTGTGAAAGTGAATGAAAATATAAAGTCAGTCTTTAAAAGTACAGCCCCACTACATTTCGCAAAACAAATTAGCCGCCCCCCCCCCCCCACCCGTTGCTGTTATTGCCGCGCAGTTTTGCACCAGGGGTGTGTGAGCGCGGAGGCCAACTAGTTTTTGAGAGTTGGAAAAACGGCCTTCGATGGTTAAAAAAAAAATCCACTTTCGATTGTGCCAATCGTAGGCTAATCCATCATAAGCCAGGATAACTGGCATGCCCACCTCATTCACGTATTTTGTACGTACGTGTGTTGAACTTCTTTCACACCGTACATAGCCAGCCGTGCTAACCGGAGGTTCTAATTTTATTCTCACTCTAAAAATGCGTCCTTAATTCTCTGATCTTGGGGCCAAACGGGAACGGAGCCAGTTTGGTACTTTGATGGATGACCACCAGGGCTTGCCAGATGTTGTAGGTGCGGGCTGCAATGTGTCCACTATTACCCCTGGTGTGTTTGGGTTTTCTCCAGGTACCCTGCGTTCCTTCCACATGCCACTCATTACCAATATTGTCTGTTCGCCAAAATCCCAGTGCAAGTGCGGAGTTAAAGTCTCAGCATGGATTGCCTGGGTGAATAATGTGGCATTATTGTTATGATTTTTTTGGTCTTCCGAATCATCCAGAAATGCCACTTCGTATTGTCAGATCTCCAAAGCTAAGGAGATTTAAGCCTTGGACAGTGCTTAGGGGGGCAACCACCAACCATAAAACAGGTGTTATAAATCGCATCGGGGTTAGAATGTGGGGCAGCAGAGGGCAGTACAGCAAAGCAATGGTTGTACTCTATGATGCTCCCATAGTGGTGAAGTACTGTCAACTAACCAACACATCCGCACGGCATGTAGAGGCCTTCATCCAGCAGTGGAGATGATAAAGAGGATAAAGAGGCTGATGAGGCTGGTTGTAATTACCGGCGAAACATCATTCTCGAAATGTAAATGTTGTGGGTTTATTCTCCATCACACCGGTGTGCTGAACTAGTAACGATTTGTTTAACACTTAGGCTTTCGCGACCATACTACTTTAATAAAGGTTTTTGGGTTAGATCGGGTTATTTATAAAAATTGTCGCAACCCTCCACCACCCGACATGGCTAATCTTAAAAAAAATGTCACGTTGACAAAAGACAAATAGTTCACTACTTTAGCACATTATTGGGTATAGTGTTTGGTTCAGTTATTAAATAATACACATGACAACTAATTACTAATCTACAACTGATTCATAATCATAACAATTAACTGATTACTAATCTATTATATAATTACAATACCCACCCCTCTCTGCCTCTGATCTCTGCTCCAGATTGGGTTAAATGATGACGTCACCCTGCTGCTGCTCTATTTAAGACCGGGAGCAAGTGAGGGCTTTACCATTCTGGCAAATTGCCCGATGATGCTGGATGTTATTACCAGCGAAACATCGTACTCAAAAATTGTAAATGTTGTGGATTCACTCTTCAACACACCGGTGGGCTAAAGTAGTTAACTATTTGTCTTTTCGATTTAAAGCTTTAGTGACTGCAAGGATTCATCTTCTTTGGTTCTTTCGGTAAAGTCACGTAGAATGAGAATAAAATAATAAATTGATAAAATAAAATAACACAATAATATTCTCACGACGTTTCGGCCACAACACAAGCGGCCTTCATCAGGTGAAGGGGACGAGACTGTCTGGAGGACAGCGCTGGAGTGAGAAAGCCACGCTGAGATCACGACCTTTAAGCTGTGTGAGAAGAAACAAAGCGCCTTGACAAAGGAATTAGCATATAATTTAGCATTGAAATGGCTGAGTGATTAGCTTGTGACTTGTCACAGAAAAGGCTATGTTAAAGTTAAAGCATACACATCCGCAAAGGCACCCCTTGTCTTTTGTCAACGTGACACTTTTTTACTGATTGGCCATGTCGGGTGGTGGAGGGTTGCGACGCATTTATAAATAATGTGATCTAACCCAAAAACCTTTATTATAGTAACGATTTGGCACGTTTTATTTACGTGACAAACCTTAGTAATTGGCAGTGTCGAGTGGTGGCGGGTTTAACGACACATTTATATTGACGTGATCTAACCAAAAAAAAAAACTATTGTAGAAAACGGATGCCCACTCGCAGCATTCTCCACAATCAAAATTCAAAGAGTGAAACAAAAGGGGCCTATGTCCTGCAGGTGCCGTTCTTCGGGCCCTTGTTTGACGGCGCCATCGTGGACGGGAAGATCCTGCCGGTGCTGGTGCGAGCGACAGCTCTCAACGCCAGCCGCGCCCTCAAGACTCTCATCCCGCTCTACCAAAGCTTGTATCCTCCTTCACGAAGACCGCCCGCGGGCCACTCGCCCCCAGCCACCCCCACCATCCGTGTGTCACCTCTGGCGGTGGAGGTCGAATGTTCTTTCGGTGGGGTCACGGGAGTGTCACGTGCGCCATCGCCACGACGGCTCTCCGTGACGTCGTCGAAGCGTCCACGGTCCTTGTCAAACGCACACTGGTTTGAGCTGTCGGGATAGGGGCGCCACTGTGGCAAGATGTTAAATACCTCACCTGGTGTGCAAGAGGTTGTGGGTTCGATCCCGACCCTGAAGCCTGTATATTTGGAGTTTGCGTGCTGTCCCTGTGGTCGCGTGGATTTTTTTCTCCAAATCTTCCGTTTTTTTCCTCCACATTTAGAAACACGTGTTTAGAGAAATTTGGCCGCTATTGCATTTCCACGTGATAAGCCACTTCGTTGAGGTATCATTTGTGGCCAGGTCGCTTCTGAAAAAGAGCTGCCAGAGCTCAGTGGGTCTTACCTGGAAAAATAAAAATAGTTGAGTTTAGATGCCCGAGTGAGGCCCTTTCACAGGTGGTGGGGAGGAGAGTGTTAGGGAAACACGGCAACAGGGCAGCAGATACCGTCCGTGATGGTGATGTCACCTACAGCGTTCGTGCCAGGCGAGGTGCACTTGGAGGCACCGCACACTCACAGAGGGCGATAGCGAGGCGCAGAATCGGAATCCCTTTGCACATTTGCAAAGGAGAGGGGCAGCCCTGATAGCAGCATCGATCAAAAGAAGCACATTAGCAGAATCGTGTTTTTTTTCTCGTGCCGTATCTCTTGGCATTTGCTACCACGTATGCACTTGTTGTATCTTGAGCTTCTTTCGCACCGTACGTAGCCAACAGCGCTAAATGCATTCGCCGCACGTGCTCGCCCCCCGCTAAAGTTCCTTAGTGCCGTCACCGCAGCTACGAGGAGCGGGCCCGGTACCTGGACTCGATCGTGCAGCACCACCGCGACCAGACGTGCTTCGAGGACTTTGCCTTCCAGCTCGTGTGTCCGGCTCCGTCGCGGCCCCTGCCAACTGAGCATGGTGAGAGGCACGCAGAACACGCGTGACGGCGTTTACACCGCCCGCGCGCCACCCCTCGTGGCCCCTGCGAAGCTCGGGAGCGATTGTTCCGCGGTGTGCGTTTTAACCCCGGCACGTGCAGAGAAACGTCGGGGACAGCGGCGCCCCCCGGCGCAACCCCGAAAACACGCCGGTGGCCGGGGGAGCCGGGCGGCACAACCGCCGTGAAAATCTACGCGACGTTGTTGTTGGCTTTGTCTAGACCGACCTTTGCGCCGTTATTAAAATAGACAATGGGGGGGGGGGTGGTGGGTGTTGGGTAAGAAGTGGCTCCGAGTTAAAATCAGCGACGCCGATTCCCACTTGAGTGAAGGCCCCAGAGATCCGCTGCCCCCATGTACTTGAGCTTCGTTGTGGGGGATCCAGAGGAGACGTCCGCCCCATGCCGAGTCAGTGCCCGTTTTGGGATGGGCACACGCCGCGTGGAGATGGAAGCATGTGGCGCAAGCAAAACGGCGCCAGACTATGGTGGCGATGAACGTGCCGCAACGGCGGTTTGCCGCTCGGCGTACATCGAGGCACTGACTCTTCACTGGTTGGGACGGGATGTGAGCGTGCCTGCATTTTTTTTCACACGTGTACTTTATTTTTAATTGAATTAGCAATGGGAAGAGGTTCTCATCGTTGAATTCTACACGTAGTCTTGATGAGAATAACGCCTTAAAGGAAACATTACATCTTCACTCTCGGGTTGACGATGCCAGCGTTTTATGGTTGAAGCTACTAAAGCCGAGAACGAGTGGAGACGGAGAAAGTTACCTCCAAGTTCGCTGGCTCCTGAGGGTGCTACGGCAATCGTGGACTTTGCGGGGTCACGGGGGTCAGGGGGAGTTGTTGTCAAGGCCACGTGAAAGATAATTATTGAAGTTGGAAAAGGTTGTAATGGATAAAAGTGCCCATTCTGTACGCGTCGCAGGAAGTACTCGGCAATCATTGAGCTAGAGTTAATGTAATCGAGCAGTTTGGCTTTTGTCATTGGCTCTGTATTTAGCGGCACAGGTCTGTGTGTGTGCGTCTTCGTTTACACTTCCCTCATAGGTGCTGAGAAACAGCACTTACCCCAAAAGTGTGTGAAGGCTATATGGGGGGGGATCTTTGTTTGTGTGTGTGTGTGTTTACAATTCAAAGACAAAGATCCCCCATATAGCCTTCACACACTTTTGGGGCCAAGGGCTGTTAGCAAGCAGCACCCATGAAGGCCTCCGTGAAGGCTGGCACAGTACACGAGAGGGGGGTGATGGCCAGCACCACACCCGGCCGCCTTTGTCTGTGTTCACACTTCCCCAAATGTGTGCCCACACGTGTGTTTACAGTTCATTGTTGTATTTTCAGGCATGCATTGTTTTCCATTTGTGAAAAGAATATTTATCGTTCTCCAAATTGTGTGTTTGCTAACTTTTATACAATCTCTCTAATGACTGGTGTTCGTAAAAAAAAAAAATTATGGCTGTGACAGTTTGTAAAGTAAAGTCAAATTAAAATAACGCCCGAATTGTCGGAGCGGTTTGTCGCGAGGGCTTTACGTTCGCCATTTTTTAAGTTGTCAACGTGGAATTTCGGAGTGAAATCGCAGCCCTAATTGAAGCGTGTGTTTTGTTTTGATCTCAAATCCCTCGTAGGTAGCCTTACTCTTTGATTACGCTTTTTATTTCTTCCCACTTTAGATCATTTTGCTTAAAATACTGAGTACCCCAAGGTAAGATCTTTGTTCAGTGGTCAATCAACACTAAACCTCTTAACTCCATTAACCGGTCTACGTCTCTTTAACCCCCCCCAACCTCGAACCCCCCCGCCCTCTTCATCATTCATCCGTCTTTACCGCGGCGGCTCTCTCTGAGGGGCCCCTGTCATTTGGTTTTTTGATCGTAACCACCGCCGCCGACGTGCGCGTGTGTCCGATTTGGGAGCCGCCGTGTAAAGATGTGTGTTGGCATAACCCCCCGCTAACTGCGCTAACTAACGGCACTAACTGACCGCGTCGCCTTCTCACGCCCGCACTCGTCTTGTGAGCCCCGAGCCCGTGGGGGGGGGGAGGGGGGGGGGGGGGGAGAGAACCGCGCGAGCGTTGGCCGGCACGGCGGCACTCACGCTCTCCCTGCGCTCGCTTCGCTGGCGCTGAATGGGCTCGCCCGAGCACTCGCCCCGCCCCCTTGCCCCCTGACCCCCCTCCCCCCCCCTCCATCCGCGCCACCCGCACGTCACGTCCCGACCGCCGGACGACGAAGCGCTTCTCTTCTTGGGGTCGGGTGGCTGCCGCGGACCGGGAGGAGTGGCGGGGGGAGCGGCGGGGTTCTGGGTTTCTCTCGCTGCGGTGATCTCTCCCCGTGGTGTCCACTTGGTCCTGGGACGGTCGTGCCTCCTCCTCCCACGGTCTTGCCTCTCGAAGCATTGTTTGACGACCTTGCATGTTTTTTTTTTACTCGCCGCTGAATGTCACATTTCATTCTTCACCCTCGGAGCCTTCGTTCGTGAACGGAAGGGGGCGGCGGCGGCGGCGGCGGCGGCGGCGGCTCTCGGAGCGCGAAGCGTTTTTTTGCGCCACGTGCCGTTCGGGGCGACGTCCGACGTTTCGCTCCCGAGCGCTGGCGGCTCCTCCGGCAGCGTGGAGGGGACGTCGTGTCGAACGGCGTGCGTGGCACGACCCCCGCAAACGCGTCGGGAGAGCTCCACGGCACAACCGCGATGAGCGTACGCCGTGGGTAACCTGGTGTCATGCGTTAGGAATGACGGTGCCTTAATAAGCACAGTGGCATGCAGTGATATCGCTGCAAGATGTCTGACGTGTATTCCTTAACTTAGGCAATCAATAATGCCCTGCGTTCGGGAAGTGAGGAGACCTAGAGTAAGGTGGAACACACCATTGTTAATATGGCAGCCCTAAAGTGCATTTGAGATGTATTTTCTCCATAAGTGTGCCTGTGAGTGTCTGTGTGTGGGGAGTGTAGCAACACCATTGATAGCGATTATCTGAACCCGTCCTAGGCATCTCCTAGGTCGACTCGGCCTCAAACGAGTACCTGGTGCGGTGTGTTAACATCGCCACTAGGGAGACAAAGGCAACCGGGTGTGGTGCTGGCCACCCACTCCCTCGTGTGCCGTGCCCGCCTTTTGTAGGTGCTCGCTCACAGCACTTTCCCCAACAGTCTGTTCAGGCTATCCGGGGATCTTTGTCTTTGGGGAGCGGCAGTGCAACGGTTCGCGCGCTGCGCTACGAACCTGGCAACCCGAGTTCGATTCCATCTCACGGCCAACACCAGTGACGATTATCTCAACCGGTCCTGGGCCTCCCCTAGGTCGACCCTGCCTCAAATGAGTACCCGGTGTGACATGTAAACATTGCCACTGTGCGGTCATAGGGCGGCCGGGCTTGTTGCAGGCCACGCGCCTCCTTCGTGTGCCGTTCCGGCCTTCGTAGGTGCTCGCTTTTAACAGCACTTGCCCCGATAATCTGTTAAGGCTACGCGGGGGATCTTTGCGTGTGCGCGTGTGTGTGTCTGCAAGTCCGGCCGCCAGGCTTCCTACGCCGCGTTACCGCTTTGTCACGAGCGGCCGGTAAAGCGCAGGTGGCTGCTCCTTGCAGAATCGCCGCCGCAAGCGGAGGGCCCGAGCGCGACCACAGCGACCTTAGTGGACTCCGTGTCTCCTCTGTCGGCACGCTCGGCCCGAAGCCGCGTCTCGGTCAAGCTCCGTCGAGCGTCCGGCTCCTCCAACAAGGCAACGTAGTGGGAGGGTCGACGGGGGGAGCGGGGGAGCGGGGGAGCGAAGGAGGGGGTGGACGACTGCCCTCCCCCCCCCCCCCCCCGCCACGATGCTCTCCTTGCCACAACCCTGAAACTCCCACACCTCCTTTCTCCCTACCTATGCACTCCGCACACCCGACAACTCTCCTCACTTGCCGAACGACACCCACGGACCACCCCCGGTGCCCGAGTCGTGCCTACGCGAAGGGGGCAACCTGCTGACACTCGGTTTACCCCCCCCCCCCCCCCCCCCCCCACTTCACACCCCCAACCCCGCAGGACTGCAGGTCACAAACACTGTCCGACGGCGTCCACCGCCAATCGGTGCCAGGGGGCAGGCGGCGACGAAGTGTCCGTTAGCGGGTGTGCCGCTCGCTAAGCGGGCCTTGTTGCCGAACGTGGCTGTAGCGCCCACTCTGTCGTCGGCCCACTCTGTCGTCGGCCCACTCTGTCGTCGGCCCACTCTGTCGTCGGCCCACTCTGTCGTCGGCCCACTCTGTCGGCCCGCGAGCCTCGAGCGACGTCGTCGGGTGTGTATAGGCGGGTACTATACGATACTGTTCGTGCCGCGCGCGTACCCACGCGTACCCACGCGTACCCGCTCGCTCCGCGGTCGGCGGAAGTAGGCGCCCCTCGGCACGCGTGCGAGAGACGCAGGTTAACTTATTGTTAAGCGGGAACCGTACGACGTCTGCCTCAAAGATCACGTCAAAGATGAGATCAAAGTCGCGTACGAGTGGACGGGCTCGCACTGCCCACGTTGAGATTGGAATTAGGTGAGCGGCAAGAGGAGGACGGGCGGCATGCGTGCGCATCACCTATGGCCATAGCGCGGCATCGCTTTGCAGACTCGCACGTTAGGAGACTAAAATCAAATACTTGCGAATACTGTAAACGATGTTTTTTGTTTTTTATCGTGGCACGCTTATTTTTTTCCCCGTCTGGTTGTAAATGTTTATCCAGCACGTTTGTATGACCGTGCTCTTTAAGACAAAGAATAACGGTACAGGTTTTTTTTGTTTGTTCGTTTAAAACGGACGATCCGGTACTTTCTTTCGTGTGTGTGTGTGTGTGGTGCAAAGGTGTATCAACCTGTGCGTCATTGTTCTCAAGATGCAATATTTATGTCAACTTGATTGAGTTCCGGGAGTTGCGCGTGTCTCTCTGTGCAGGAATCTAAAGCTGTCTGTATAAGGCATGAAGTAGTTACAGAATTCCGCTGTATGATGTACTGTATTTTATAATGTGTATTATATATAACAAAAAATATGAAGATATGTTTGCCCAACAACTGTATCATTTCTTCGTTATGTATTTTTATGTTACGTTAACTTTTGGCCTTTTTTATGGGTTTTTTGTCTTATATAAATAACTGGCCTTGTAAGCAGCACAAAAATATTCACTGTTTTCTTTTTTCACTGCAAAACAAATAATTATTAAAGTTGTTCCAAAGTTCCTCAGCTACTAACACAACGCGGCTGCTGCTGCTGCTTGTTTGCAGTACGGCGGTACAAATGTTCACGTTTCGCCCAAAAGCTTTCATTATTATTTAAAAATATATATATAATTGAATAAAAAGTGGATAATTTTTACAACAAAACCATTTCATTAATTTGTGACGATGGGCAAATCATGCTGGCTTGTTATGTTTTTGCATCGATTTCTCTGTGTCCGTTTATTAAAACTTGCACTTGAACAGTTTTGTAAACGTTTTAGTAACTTTTGCCCGACTCCTTTAAATTTGAATTATAACGCATTGTCCCTCTTGTCTGTATACAATTAAAGTCGGGACAAAACAACAACCCCCGCGCTTGCCACGGAAGGTACTGACGGAGCATGGATCACCGACGAGCGGAGGAACGCTCGGTCGGTCGGTCGATCTGCCTGGGTCGTCACCGTGCCTGTCGGGTGTGCAGGCCGTGCGACTGCGCCGGAACCGCACGCCCCCTCACCCCCTCTGCCGCCGCGCCCAATGCGTTGAGCGATGCGTTGCTGGCAACACGGCCTACGCATGCGACGCCGGTAAAACCCGATGCTTGCTAGATCCCTCCACTGTGCGCGCTGTGTCACCGCGCCCCGAATCACTGAATATATTTGCACTTATACTGATCGCACCGTTAATAATTGGCGGCCGAGCCTTAACGTGACAACACTCGTTGTCGGGTGGATTTTTTTTTCCCCTCTCTAAAAGGAAATGCACTGGTGGGTGTGTGTGCGCTACACAAATATCGTGACTCTCATGGTGTATGAGAGAGTCTCACCGGGATTTTTATTTTATTTTGGCACCTGGGTAAAAGGCTCTTGAGTTGTAAAATGTTCACCAGTTATAGGGGTTCACGGTTCTTCTGGTCGCCGTCGTTATTTTTCTAAGTTGTGTAGCGGATAAATTTGCCCATTGTTCTGACATGGCATGATGATATACAGTGACTGCATGTGTACATATCCTGACCATTACTACTGAACCCACTCGAGCATTTATTAAGGGATGGCTTGTATTTTGTAATCATAATTAATATGGGGGTGATGCCCTCTAATAAAAATGTTAAAACGTTTCAATTCTTCTTCTCATCCTTGAGTAGCGCAGGCGGGCAAATGTGTGGGTCGCGTCACCGCTACTGCTGACGAGAGCCCTGGGAGGCGAAGACAAAAGCACGCGTGCATTTGACGCGTGGACTGAAACTATTCGTAATGTTCACGATACATCCATCCAGTCGTTCTCATGATATTGGATCATTTGCAGGTGTATGGTAATGGAATTCAACTAAACTATTGTTTATTTTACCAGGCAGGGCCCACTGAGCATATACAGCTCTTTTTCTGAAGCGAGCTGGCCACAAATGATAGCTCAAGGAAGTGGCTTATCACGTGGAAATGTACAGCAGCCACATACTCCAAACACGCGATGTTGGTTCTAAATGTGGAGGGAAAAAACGGAGGACCCGGGGAACAATCCACGCAAACGTGACGTGCAAACTCCAGATATACAGCAGCAGGCGGCAGGGTCAGGATCGAACCCACGATCTCCTGCAAACCAGGCGAGGTAGTTAACATCTTGGCACTCCCATGCTTGTGATTGGCTCGTGTTAAGTTTAGTGTTACGTAGCATCACAAACTCCAAATGAAATAAACAATTGGTGGAGTTGGCCACACATCCCAATGTAGGGCCACAGAGATTGGGCAATTGTGTGCACCGTTTCTGGTTGCCTTCCCACGCCTCCCTGCAAAATCATCTGAAAGTTACAAATTGCACATCGTTTCGAAGCAATTTTTTTGAACAATGCCGTGTAAAAATGTATATTACTGTTATAAGCAACAACATAAATTAGATGGGGGTGGGGGTGGGGGGAATTAGATACCAAATGTTACAGTTCCTCAAATTGCTATTATCCTTTTGGGTGCAGAAAACAAATCGGGAGTCATTACTTCGTACTGTCCAGCTTTACATGTTGCTGTGAGGTCAGGCGAGCAACTCCCAATCTGAAAGTTCAAATCCTGGTTGTGGGTTGACTTGGGCCCCTTCATTCCCTCTGGGGTTGATAACATGAGTACCGCTTTGTTGGAAAGTCAACGGTCATTGTCCTCCGTGTGAACGTGGACTTTCCACAGTTGGCTGTAAAAAGGAGATGAGTACCGATGCCCCGATGCTCATGTAAGCAGGAAATATTTGACTGTGCTTATTCACGCTGTCAAGAATGCAAAGTACTTTGTAAAGACACCGCTTGGGTCCAAAGTGGACGTTATATTTGTGTATGTCGAACTTCTTAGGCACCGTGCGTAGCCAATCATGATGATCCGAGGTGTTGACTATCTCGCGGGGTATACAGGAGATCGTGGGTTCGATCTTGACCCTGACGCCTGCTGTGTATTTGGAGTTTTCACGTCTCTCTCCCCGTGGTCGTGTGGATTTTTCTGCGGGTCTTCTGGTTTTTCTCTATACATTTAGAAACGTTCGTTTAGAGTATTTGGCTGCTATAAATTTCCACGTGATAAGCCACTTCGTTGAGATCTCATTTGTGGGCAAGTCGCTTCTGAAAAGAAGATGTATTGCTCTCGGTCTTACATGGTAAAATAAACGTAGTTTTTTTTTTAAATAGATGAGAGAGTTTGAAAGAAATGGGGTCCAAAGTGGACTTATGTATGTATGGTGAACTTCTTTCGCACCGTACGTAGCTATATAATCGAGGGTGCGGGAGGTAAGACAATGTTGCCCGTCCTACCAGATGACAAAGGTTTGAAAAAAACAGCGTTTATATTCTTTGGGTCTTTCAGTAAAGCCACGTAGATAGAAAAAATATCATCTGAAACACGGTAGGACCAATACCTCAGGCGTGGCTGATCATTGTTTTAACGCTGTGGGCACACACGAAATAGATTTTTCCAAGACGAAGGTACTCTGGAAACCCACTGGCTATTTGCAAATATTCGTTCATGAAGCCATCCAGATATATAAACACGGACACAATTTCAACCTATTAGATGGGTATAAACTGAGCAATCATTGGAAGGACGTTATTAACCAGGTTAAGTCATAACTGCCTGTGATTTTTAGTAGTTATTTTCGGTGTTACATTAACAGGTTAAATGTCTCACTAACACAGCCACCGTTGCTCGTTTTCCTTGATGTGGCGGTGGCTCTACGATCTTACATTGACATGCTAATCTCGCAATACAATGGCCACCCTCGCAGCTTCGTCGTCGTGGAGGTGGCTCAGCTCTCCGATCTTACATTGACATGCAAATTTCTTCACTAGCCCCGCCCACTTCGCTTATGACCCTTGGGCTACGCCCATCTCAAACCTTTATAACGCCCTGCCTCAGCAGCTCTCGCTATTCTTTCACCTGATGATGATTGCTTGCGTTGCGATCGAAACGTCGTGATATTTTTTATGATTTGACCTATCTCCGTGACGTTACCGAAAGACCCAAATAATATGAATTCCTGCGGTCACGAAAGCTTTCAGTCAAGATTTAAACAGCGTTTAGTAAATCCTGGCACATCGTGCTCGGTTAATGAACTCGAGAAATTTTCAAGATAATGTCTTCCTTTTTGACTCTTATTTACAAATTTGTTTAATTGCGTTTTGAATGTTGCACAGTGCGTGTACAATGCACCACATGTTTTAAGGTCTACGTCCAGGGTGACTAATGCAACGCCGTTATCGCTAACTGCGGCGGCGATATTTCTTATCAATTACTGGCTTCATTTAAGCACGTTAATAATTTGTTCTTCTGCCGCCGTGCATTATTGTTGAAATGCATTCCCAAAGC